GTTTGTGAGTAGATGAAGCTAGTTAACTTGCATCTGTAGCATTAACTAAAACAAGCATGAAGTTCTTCTCCTCGAGACAAAAACATTTATGTAGGTTTATTTTGACCATATATAGATTGCTTGAATAAAGTTGGAAAGCAATTAGATAGTATCAAGAAAGAAGCATCCATGAACTTTTGAGCGTAAGTCATAGTTATACATTGTCCACACTTTTTTTCCGCTAGTAGATTAGATTCCTATCCGCACTTCTGCTTTATTTGACCTACATACAGCTTTCTTGTTATCCTGCTTTGTGACAGCCATTGTTTCCATATAACTTTCTTCTTGCTCTGTGTGGTTGGGGTTGAATGGGAGCAGTTGATTTTTACTATTTAGGTTCCCTGACTTTTTTCCCGTTGAATCAGAAAGCAATGTAGGTTCCTTGATTGTCAACAGAAGAAATAATAGAGGGAGATAAAATTTAGAAGCTTACAAAGAATGGGGAGAAGTAGAACAAGAGGCGAGAAAAACCAAATTAGGCTAAACTCTCTCTTTTGGCTGATAAAATTAGGGTTAACTAAAAAAATTGTTTCCACATCAATGTGCCAAAGTTAATACCCCATTACAATAAGGCTTATTTATATAGACAATCCCAACTTAATTAAATACTTATAATATACACTGCAATAGTTAAACGAAACAATTAATTTCTGAATTATAATCAAATATACATAATTTCTATTCTGGATTTTACGCTTAAAATGATCTCAATTCTCTGCATATATCATACTCACTTTATAGAAAAAATCTCATAACAAGGCAATATTGTCTAGGACTTTCTTATTAATTTATCCAATCATTTTTGTGGTACTTGGTTTCTATGGTTTTTATCATTCTTTTAGTTTCCTTTATTTTTTTGGGTTATAGTGGGAACGCTTGGAATTCGTGCATACATGTTGATGCAGACGCATATGACCGAGATTTATTAGTTTCCTAATGTATTTGTTAGTTTCCTAGATTCTCTAGTTTTCCCAATTCTAGTAGGATTTCTACTTTTCCAGATTTCTAGTTTTAAGTTTCTTATTTTATTTGGGTTAGGATTTATGTTTAAGCAAGGGATTTTTATCCTGTTATGTCTAGGTTTTAGTTTGCTATAAATACCCCCATGTAGTTCTTTAAAATTCAGATTTGAATGTTGAGAAAACCTTTTCCTAGAACTCTCTTATCTCGTCTTTTCGATCTCTATTTCTTCTCCTCGCTCTCTTATATTCTTCTATGTTCTATTGTTTGAGTGCTTAATCTAATACCTACGGGCTGTACTACATCACATGTCTCCTTAGAACTGTTTTCCTCATACCATGCAAGGATAATGCATCAAAGAACCTTATACAAATTTTCTCTAGGTTTCATGCTTTGGGTGACTTGGTAGTTAAGTTATGATTCCTATGCCCTATGGTTTCCCATATATGTGATGCCAGGAAATGACATTAGTCTCACCAATGTAGTCTTGGTTGTCTTTAAACTGATACTATCGCTTAGATGAGAGAAATGCTTACTTGGTGTATCTGAAATTGATAATTATGTACTGTGGTTTAAGTAAATTATTAATCTACACTAATGGTTTGTTTCTAATCCATCTTCTAAGTGAATCTACGTTGTTTACAAGAAGTTCTTCTGTGGCTTGTGTTGCAAGTGTCCCTCAAATCTAACACGTCTCACTTGTCATAGATCATATTATTGCAAGAAAAGAACATTCAGAGACTAAATGAGCTTGTTCGTAGTCTCCGGGAACAGTTGGTACAGTGTAGGAGCAAGACTCAGACCACAAATCACACTGTAAGCTTCCGAACTGAACATGTTACTGAACTTGAACAACATCAGATATTCAAGGACTAGGTTGAGCCCATGGAAATATATGGCGAACACCTGTAATATGTTTGACCCGTAAAAACCTTTGGTTTTTTGACCAAGTTACACAATTTACTTTGAGTTTAGAATGGAAACTACTCATGGTGTCAGTGGCCTACCACACTAGGCAGAAGTTATTCAAATGTAAAGTTCAAATCTCAGAGAATCTTGTTGTCACATTATGACTACATTTTCTCTCGTTAAAAGAAATGTTATAGCCAGAGCAATTATTTATTCAAACAAAGTTTTATTTATGCCTATGAGGGTTACGTTTTAATTAAGAGAGATTTTTTGAGTGTTTATCTCCTCCTGAGCTGCTGCAGAGTATTTTAGATGAGGATAAGATTGGTCTTGTGAGGCATAGAACTGTTTCTGTTTAGTTTAGTTTTGGGCTCTGCCCCTATTTTACCCAAAGAAGAAGAAGAAAACACAGGGATGAGAGATGTGTAGAAAGAGAACGCACAAAACAATTTCTATCTTAACTACAAAAATCTACCTAAACTCTTAGATCAGACTAGCCCCGAACTTGTCAACATTTTAAAACTCTCCTCGACTTCCCGACAACCATCCCAGCAACACACCGCCACAAAACCTCGTGCTACCCGCAGTTGCCCTCTCCCCAGTCCACATTCCCCATCGCCTTAGTCATTTTCTTCGAAATTACAAGTCTGGATCTGGGTCTTTTTCGTTGTTTTTATTCTCTTGGATTTGATTTCGGTTTTGTTGCCATTTTGGGGCTCATTGGATGGTGCGGTAATGGAACAGGTTGCAGGAAATATGTAGCATCATCATCCGATGGGACCTGCTCCTAAGCCACCTACTACTTTAGAAGGAGAATTGTGTCATGTATTTCATCATCAAACATCACTTTTAACGGATTTCCCATCTATTTGTGGTGGGTTGTTTAGCTGCTTCATCTCATCCTACACAAATCACATATATAGTAGAAAATGAGACATCACCCCAAAAGCCAAATGACTACTAATATGCAAAGCAAGAGGAGGTTACTATAGTACATTTACATCTTCAGCCCCATGTCCGCATAAGAATCAACAATAACACACCAAATGTAATTCTATAAGCTCTTACATAAGCATTCTTGCCATCTTTCACGGTGAAGATTCAATGCGGCTTGGTTCGTCTCCGATTTCATAATTTTTCTATTTGATTTAGCCACAGACCACCATCAACATGTTATTAACAACTTTCAAAATTTATACATAACTTAAATAGACAAAAGAATGAAGCGAGACTTACATTTTCATATCTAATACGACTAAAAGCCCTTGTTCCAAAACATTATACTCCATGTACGTTATCTGAACCGTTCATTTTCTAAGTCTTCATTCAAAGATCATTTTTGCAAAGAGATCCACTCCAACTGAGGAACCATTTAGCCATTTGGTTAGCACTTCAGTGCGACTAGTCGTAGCAGTAGTTCAATGTATGCATATACTTTTACTACGCAGGGTGGAGTCTCTTTCAATGCTACAGATACAATGAACCACTTTTTCTTTCTCCTTTTTTCTTCCACTTGATCAACAGTTATATGAATTTAATAAGGGACTGGTTTACCATTGTCGTTAAAACTTAAACGGGGTAAAACAACAACCATTTTAATGTCTGATTGGTTGTCAAAACATCATAATTTCAGTTAAATCCAGTCCAGTACGGGAGTGGAGGTTAATGCATTGCAGTTGAGGCTGACCGGACATAGTAATGTCGTACCACTAGTTTTGCATGCTGTGCCTAAAAATGACTAACACTATTTAAAGTACGTGTCCCCCCGTCCAGCAATGGTATGCCACCTATATAAACCTCCTACCCTCCACGTAAGTAATTTCAAATGATATAAAATAAAGGTCAAACTCCACTTAACATGGCCTAAGCTACATATTTGAACTGCCTACTCAACATACATTGGTCCACCAACGGTTTATTGACTTGACTTCAAACGCACTAAGTAATCATGCTCTCTAATTTTTAGAAGTTCTCTGTAAATTTCAACTCTAATTATACTCTCTACTTTAAAGATTCATAAATATTTTTAATAATTTTTAATTCAATTTTTAAATAAAGTGTAGACACAAAAGCAATAATAAAAAATAGTTGGTATTAAATAAATGCTTAAAATAATATTAAATATAGAAGTATTTAATTATAAGAAGTCACTAGGAGTCTTTTCTATTTCCTCATATTTAAGAGCTCCTAAAGGTCTCTTTATTTTATAAATTGGATAGAGAGCATCATCAGAAGTGGATTTTCAGGATGGTCAAATTCTAAAATTTTGGATCTCCTAAATCAGCCGCAAACTTGACTATCATCTTAAAAACTTGGTTGAATTTGTGACACGATCTATACATCTTCCTAGACATTTCACGAAAAGTCAAGTCTCCAGTAGTAGTGTTACACGTTAATAAAAATATATTGTCTAGTTACAACCTTTTAAAGCATTTGTGCAGGTTTGTTGAAATATATTCAAACTTTTGAATTTTCTATCCCACAGAAAAAATAAATAAAAAAGGTGAAAAAGAAAAGAAGCTGAAGGCAACAGAGAGAATATATGGGAATATAATTTATTTATTTATATTTTTGGCTGTGATTTTAAATACACACACCAAACCCACCAGCCTAGCTAAATGAGGATAAATACATACATGCCGTGATTTATTATAATTTCCTGCACACATTCTTCCACCAAATTCTCCTTATTCTCCTTATTCTTCGATTTCCATACATATTAATCAACCATCAAATTTGACCCAAAAACTCTACCTTCCTCTTAAATTCATGGCCTTAGAGGTCCAAAAGTAGAACACCAAACCCATCTGTTGATGGGTGCTCTTTGCCCAATGCCCTTATCTTAGTACGTCTCCTGCTATATATATAGCTGGGTACGTTTCCATATCTTCACCAAACCATTCTGATGACTCTCTATCTCTAGCTTTCAATCTTGTTTTTACCTGCCATATATAACACTACTGGTGAAGCCTCAGTTTGTACTTGATTAATTAAGGTAAGACATTGGTCTATTACATCATGTTTAAAAAAATTACAACTGTTTAATTAATGTCCTTGTATACTAATTTGTTTTTGATAGGTGAGAGATAAAGATGAGCAGAAGAGGAAGTACTAGTCCAAAGCTTGAATTGAAGCTAAACCTGTCTCCTCCAAGAGCTCACTCACCAATTGGCTCCCCGAATGCCTCCGAAACATCCTCGAACATGTCGCTTGACCGCGGCTCTTGCGTGTCGTCGGAGCCTGAACATCAGACGATGGACTACCAGAGCAGCCCTGAAGCGAAGGCCATGGTGCTTGCCGGGTGTCCACGGTGCCTCATGTATGTCATGCTATCTGATGCCGATCCGAAGTGCCCAAAATGCAAAAGCACAGTCTTGCTTGATTTCCTTATTAACGAAGAAAGCACCAAGAGGACAACAATATAAGGAGGAACATGGCTTGCTTTTTGTTGTTCTCATGGCGCAAGTCAGTAAAATATTTTGTCAGCCTTTTGAGCAACTGTTGAAGTTTTTTGGTTCTTGTGGTTAATTACGTCTTTTTCTTTTTCCTTTGTCCCCATTTTTTTTTCCTTTGTTTTGCCCCATCCAGTTGATTGCCTTTAGGTTCAAGTAGCTATCCAGAGTTGGATTGTGAAATTGTGAAATTTCCTTTTGTAGGAACTTTTCTTTTTTCTATATGCATGCATCAAATCAAACATTGTGCTTTCTTGTTTAGTGGTAATGGTTCTGAAGATGTTATAGAATCCGACTTTTTTTCTTAATCACCAAATCAAACAAGGTTAGTGAGTTCTACGGAGGTGTCTCATAATATCGTAACTTCATACTATGAGAAATTTGAGGCAAATAGTTTGGAAAAATAGTTTGTTTTAAAAGCTTTATCAGTTTCTACCCAATAGTAGTAAGGATGTAATTATCATGGATTTCTACTCAAATGTGGAACTGGGTTTTTATCCCACTTCATGTATTAGCGGGTTTCTTGACATAATGCAATAAAGTCAAACTAAAACAAAGAAGACCCAAAGCACAGTGCTTGCTGAAATAGGTAGATCACACAATTAATTCTTATTCAATGTTCTAAGTTCAGAGTAAATACGGCAGGGCTGAAATAGGTAGATCACACTTCTCTCATTATCGGTTCCACCAATTTTATCCATCAATGTCAATGCAGAATGGTTACAGTGGTAGTTGGCCTAACTTCTCTAATATTCATGTTGTTGAATATCATATTTACGGAACCTAACTTGAGCTTCAATTTTCCGGGGGCTGGTAACTGAAGTGGTTAAGTTCTTCTTGCACCCGACGTCCTATGTTTGAGAAAGGAGGCTTATGTCAAAAAAACAATAGTAAATTTGGCTTACACCCTTCAAATTTAATTTGCTGTACCTAAAACCCTTCACTTTTTGTTCCTATAAATAATACCCAATTTGTATAAGTAAAAACACATGACTAGGATCCAACTCAGCAAGTTACCTAATTAAGTATAAAATCTGATTTATTGTACTTTTCAGATTCCAAAAATACCCCCAACTAAGCCATTATTGCATTTTGTATATTAATGTAGGAATCAATATGGAAACAGTTTTTAATTGGATTGTATATAATGACAGATGTTGAATTTGGAAAGATCTCCAAATGGTTGTAATGGATGTAGGAATTAATTTTGAAACATTTTAAAAAAAATTTAACAATAAATTCAAATTTAGGTAATCGGTTTGTTTAATAAAATGTTTATGTTATTTTCTTTTTATGAATTATACATGACTAATAATCCACTTTATAATTGTTTATGAATAAAACTGTACATACTAATTATGTTGAAAAAATAATGTACCTATTACCTGTTTGTTTTATGAAAAACATAATTTACCTAGTATGAAAAGTGTACATAATTATCTATTCCAAATAATGTACCTATACACATTTACAGGTATAGTGTAAAATAATTTACCTGTGGGTAAATAATGTACCTATATTTTATATAAATTATTGTGTACCTACTTTTAATTATGAAAAATATACGCAATTACAAAGTAATTTGTTTTTTTTTTTTTGGTAAATAATATACCTATATTTTATATGTATATATTTATATTATATTTTTCATAGGTACATTATTGGATATGTAATTTACAGATTTTTTTTTTTGTTATTGTAATTTTAGGGGGCGAGATGTGAGAGGGAATGACAACTAAAAGAAATGGGGTGATTGATATGTTATTAATAGGGAGTACATTAATTACAATTATGGCAGTTAATGAAATGCTTGAAATAAATTATAAATAAAATATGAAGTTTGGTGGCAATGATGTAAAAACATAGAAATACTACGACCTCTTATATCATACTAGTCATTTAAATTTGAAATTGGGTTTTACACATAGATTTATATAGTAATGGGTATATGTCAAGGAAATAGAAAATGTAGGGATCTATATTGGACAAGCCCAAAAAACAAAACAAAACAAAAACAAAAACAAAAGGACTTGAGCTCTAAATCCTAAACCCTAAGGCCCCATTTGGTTCATGAGAAAGGAGGCTTGGGGATGGAAAATCAATTGCTTTCCCATGTTTGGGTCCAGGCATGGGAAATCGTTGCTTTGCACATGGGAAAGTAGGGGAGAAAGTGAAGCTCTCCTCTCTCCTCGGGTTTTGTTTTCCTCCTCATACGAAAGTTTGAGAAAATGAGCCAACATTAAATACATATTTTTCATGACCATTTTGTTCCTATTGACAATTTAGAATTACAATATAACATTAAATGTATTCTTTTTTCATGTGATTCCATATGGGTATAATTGAAAAATTAAAAAAACTTTGTTTTACATTCCTACACAAACCAACCATGTGAAAGGAAATAAAGTAACATTTCTTGGTTACTTTATCAGGATTACCAAACATAGGAAATGAATTTTCATTTCCCATCCCTTGGGAAATGACATGGGAAGTGATTTCCCCTCAAATCCGTTCCGTGAACCAAACGGGGCCTAAGTACATGTAGCTAAACGATGAATCGCTCCCCTTAATTAAATCAGATATTGTTTGAGTGCTTTCTTATGCAGCTCCTTTACATAAAAATCTTAATATATCACCTCTTTTTTTTTCTTTTTTTTATTTATAAATTTATGAAAGTATTTTTTTTTCATTTATCAAATGAAAACGTTTATCTACGACACTATAAAAAATAAAAAACACTTTCCAAAAACACCAACTTTGGATTCACCGTACGTCTTTTTTTCAGACAACCGCATGCCTTCCCCTTGAAGCAAAAATTTACAGTCACCGTAAATGGCAGAAAAATATAATTTTCTGATAAAATAGCAGAAATGAGAACTAAAATGGAGGGCTCATCACCATGCATGTTTGTGCCAAGCCAATGAGTGTATGTTTATCTGGTTGTCCTTGTTTATCCACAACCCTATTAATTACAACGTGGCTGCTATAATTGCGTCGGAACAACTCAAAGAAATAAGGTTCGACTTGAATGGACAAACCGTCACTTTTCTTTCCCCTTTTACTGTGTTTATTAGGTAAATGAAGAGCTGGTCATCAATGGTCATTCCAATTCGGGTAACACTTTCAATATTGAACAACATATATATCCCTGATGGTTTAAAAGTGCTTGCATATTGATTTTCCATCCACATTCCAAAATTTTGAAATGACAAATTAAAGATGTGCAGACATTAGCTAAAAGGGTTAATACAGCAAACACCTCAATGCCTTCACTCCAGACACCCCTATGAATTGCAAATTAAATCCTCCCCATTTGCATTCTGTCCAAATTAGTTGGCATCGGCATGAGAAAACTCTAATATTTTATACATAAAAAAGGGGGAGACTTTTAGCTATGCCTTCCAAACTTAATTGGTATCCTTTAACAATTGGCCTTTCAATTTGGTTGTTAGCCACCTAATCTTTGAAAATGTGTTAATTTGCTTCCTATTGTCAATTATGTTATTTTATGTTGAATTTGACAGTTGGGAGAAAATGGATACATCTTAAAATATTAGGGGGCTCATAACCAAATTGAAGGTCAAGGAAGAAAGTTCGAAGAAAGTTGGCTTAATATCACAAAACGTCTCTAAGGTTTACGAAACTATCATATTGCATCCTTAATGTTTTTTTGTGTCATTCGTGGTCTTCAAGGTTAGTAAGTGCGATCACAAATGGTCCCGGCTGTTAGGTTCCGTCAAAAACTCCTTTAGTTTGTTGACGTGGCGCATATATATATATTACAAAATATCCTTGAGGTTCACACACCTATCACAAATGGTTTCTACAAAATTTTTAAATTTTTTAAATTTAAAATTCATAAAATTTTGGTTTTCTTTTTAATTATTTATAAATGAAAAAACCATTTATAGAAGGATTTTAATCTTGAGGACCATTTATGAACCCTAAACCCTTAGTTTTTTTTCATTTTTAAATTTTATGAATTTTAAATTATTTTTTAAAAACTCAATTAGTTTGTTGATGTGGCATATATATGGAGCCCACATCTACAATAATATAGTGTCACACGGAGTTTTTGACCGAACCTAACGGCAAGGACCATTTGTAATCACACATACTAACCTTAAGGACCACAAATGACACAAAAAAAAACATTAAAGATGCAATATGATAGTTTCATAAACCTTAAAGACGTTTTGTGATAATAAGCCAAGAACCCCCCCATCTCCTCCTGATGGTTGAATTGATGGAGGAACAACTGGACAAGCAACCGGATTGTTGAGGAAGTAAAATCCATCTCGTGCAAATTTGGGCTTTGAGCTCAAAATTGAGCCCATGACTGGCGACACGAGTGCAACTGACTATGTTGTTATGACATATGGACATTTTAGGCCAAATTCCATTGTTTACTTTCACTTTTTAGCATTTAAAGTTTTAATAATATTTTTGGGAATTTTGTTATTTTCCGTTTTTGATTCCAATTAGGGTTTTCTAGTGTGTCTAGAGTTGCATATGGATAAAAGGGATCCATCAGTGCATCTCTAGATAATATTCATATTTGTATTCAATAAATTTTGAGGTTTTACTCAATTCCTGGTGGGGGTCTATAGTTTGCTGGTGGACTTCAGCTTTGTTCTGACGGGTTATTGTTCGATTTCCCTTGTTGTTTTTCGTTAATCATTGAACATGCACCTCATTTGCTTGAGAATCCTTGAGCTTTTGTCTTGTTCATGTAACATCATACACTAGAAATTAAGTTTATGCATACATTCTTCTTAAGTATAAAAGCTGATTTTATTTTTCTTTTGTACCAAGCATAATGACTTTATGTTGGGTTCTAGTATGAACACGATATGTGACATTAATGATCTTGGAAAGTCTTAGATAGGATCTGCAATAGCAACGAAGTATCTCCAATAATATTACGTACCATTTCAAAGGAAAGACTCAAATATAATATCTTACACATCCAGTAATTAACAAATATTTCATTGTCTACCATGAAGAAAGGACTACCTAGCAAACAACTAGCAGAGGCATTCTTTTTTTTGTTCTTCTTTTTCTTTTCTTTTCTTTTTTGTTTTGTTTTGTTTTTTTTAATAACCGAAACAAGCTTTCTAATCAACCCATGTAACAAGCTTTAGGTCAGTGACTCCCAAATCATATGACTTTAGGACACTAAATGTGAAGACATTCCGAAGGACTTACTCACTCGAGTTGAAAAGGCTTGTATGTAATTTTCGACCTTTAGCTTTTAGCTCACTTTAATTTCCACTCTAGCTTCGTTGAATTGTACTTTGATTTTGCATAGGGCTGTGACTTCTTTGGTCACTTTCAATATGATATACCTTTTTCAAACTTTTTAGTTAAATGCTAACTAATCCTATATTTTATAAAACAAAAGGATGAGTATACTCAAAACTCGTTTAACTCCCTGCAAGAGTGTTGGTGTGCATGTGAAAGTCTCAAGGTGAAGCATATGACTAATCCACTCATCCAAAGTAAATAACTATGATTGCAAATTTCACCCAAGATTTCATAATGGAAGCATGTTCAAACCTTTAAACTCACCTATGAATATCAAATTCAAAATTTAAATTTCACTGGACTTTGAATTGTTCACACAATTAACAAGAAGAACAAACAACTAAGATTAACAAACAAAAAAAAAAAAAAAATAAAAAAAAAAAACTTGAAATTTTTATTTTTTTTTTTTAAAAACTAAAAGTAAAACAACCTAAACAAAGTTTCCCACCCCCAAACTAGAACTAAACATTGTCCTCGATGTTAAGCAAAGAAAACATGCAATGCACAGTTAAGGAAGGAAGCATATAGAAAAGAAAAAAAAATGATAAAATAAATAAGTAAATAAAAGAAACAAGGAAAAGAAGAGGACTTCCCAGGTCTATTTGCACTAGCTTCATGAAGAGAAAATTGGTGAGGCATGATGCTCTAGTGTGTTAGGCAAACCACCCCAAACTAGGTGTGAAGCAGCAACATGTAAGGACAGCAACAGCAAGCAAAATCTTTAAAAATGACCTTTAACAACGGTTTTTTCTGCAGAAAACCGTCACTAAAGAGTGCTAGGAACCTTTTGTCTACAAAAAAATCCGACGAACAACCCCGCAAAAGGGTTTTAGCGATGAAAAATCTGATGAACAGCCAGAAAATGCAACAGTAGCAATTTTTGGTATTTTGGCTCATTTTTGAACTTCCAACCCACCTAAAACACAATGCAGGCCATATGGGACTCCCAAACTTGGTCCAAATCATCACCATAACCATTTGCAACATGTCTGAAACCTTGAATTCACGTGAAACACTCCATAGTGAAAATTATGAGGCGAAGCCAAAAATTACCATAATTGTGCCAAAAGGGAAATTTTCACAATGATATTCTCCAAGACAAACCAGCACCCAGAACATCTTCATGAGACCATATGTCACTTGCAGGGGCCACTCCTTGGCGTGAAAGAACTAAGAAAATGATATTATGCATAGGAAAACTTCACAACTTCTCCAACAAAAACATCAACCAAAATAACCTTTCCTCTTGCATTATTTCAACTTTTGGCCATTGCAAACCCAACAAAAAGGCATAAGTGAGCTGTTTGGTATCCTTATGCACAAAAGCCTTTTGGCTTGGCTCTCAAGCCTTAAAATCTACTCCCTGAAGGTAAGCCCTTGATGTCTTCAGTGACAAAAAGCCATCTACCAAAGTAAAAAGGAAAACTGAGATAAGTGTTTGCATAAATTGCAACAGGGTAAGCTAAAAATAGAATGTTAAAAGCTAGCCAGTGATGACCTTCCATGGAATGTAATTCATACTGAACATTGAAGGATAAAACTTTACTTCTTATTGCTTTCATCTTCGCTTAGGTCCCTCAACCTTTCCTGCATTTCTCTGGAAACAAATAACAATAGCAAAGAACGAAAAAGCAGCATCAGCCAAGGATTAACCTTATTTGCTGATCCAATCTGCGCTCCTCATCAGATAGGTTTTCAACTTGTGCCTGGGATAAAAAGGACATTGTGAATGAGGTCATATCTGTACTTCAGAATTGGCAAACATTATTTTTGCTATGACGTGCAATGAATAGTTGACAGATTTTATGTATGATCCATTGTCTCTAGTCTTAACTCTTAATCAACAATGACACTAATCTTGGGAAGCTCAACCAAACAAAGGCCTTGGAAACTCTTTCCAGCCAAGACCACAAATCCTGCTTTTTTCATGACAATCATTGAAATTCAAATGCATCACACAAACTTGGAACCGGACAAATGTGGACTGAAATCTAGCACGATCAACCAAAAACAAGTCTTGTCAAAGTAATCTAATCAAGAACACAAATCCTGCTTTGTCATGCCAATCATTCATATCTATGCATTACGCTGAAAAATGGTACTGGACAAAACATGCGGACTGAAATCTAGCAAGCTCAACTATTCGAGTCAAGAACATAAAATCCCCGCTTTGTCATGCCAGTTATTCATATTTGAATGCATTGGAACTGGACAAAACATGTAGACTTAGGTAACATGATCGGTAACGAAATCATGCTGAAGTTCAAATGTGGAAAGCAATTTGCACAGAAAACCCAACCAGTCAGTAAAAGGGATGTTGACTTCAGATTTATATGGTTATTTACTTCCTTGCGAGTAAATGCAGCCTTTTTAATCAGCTAACACTTTCAGTCTAGGTTTGGAATCAACAATGATAGGGAGGTTGGGGACTGGCACGTCCAAAAAGAAGAGAGAACAGATAAACAACAAATAACAGGACATAATAACACAAACACGAACAGCATTGGTACTTTTAAGCATACAAACATACAGTCTCAAACACTGAGCCAAAACTAAGCTATCCAAGCATGAGCATGCCAAGGACAAGTTCACTTTTTTCCGTACATGTAAACTAGGATAATTTTCGTCCACATCTCCTGTCCTCGAGACATTAAGTCCCCTAATCAACCAATCACTCAATTTTGAGTAACTTATAATGTACAGTGGATAATTGAATATTTACAACTTAATAAAGTGGAAAAATAGCTGTTAAAATCTCAGGAAACAAATACAACTAATCCCTTCCACTGAATTCTATTTTTGAGCTTCTTTTCTATGAGACCAATTCCTTCAAGAACATTTGTTATATCATATATCCGCCTCTTTTACACCTGCATAAAAAAGAACAGATAGGAAAGTAGTACCTCTAAAGTATCAGCAGCATTATTGAGAACCAGAATACCATCTTCCGTATGTTTGATCAGATTGTTAAACTTATTTGTTAACAGACCTGAATGGCAATAATAGGACATTGCCGTAATAAATGCACAACAAATGAAAAAATTAACTTGCTTTTCTGGTGAAGAACCTAAATTACTAAATGATAAAATCAGTTAACAAAAAACATAGGAAATCGTTCTGTTACCTAGGGAGCTGTCAAAACGACAAGGTCCAGCCGGAGTAAGGTTATCCCCAGAAGGAGAACCTGTCAATTATGCATATTAGATGGGAGTAATCAAGCAAACACATCCCATAAATTCTCATAGCACTTTGTCAGCCTTGATGTTTTGTTTGCCTTTCCCACCTTGCTTGACACGGGATTCTGGAGGGGGCTGGTAACTACTTCATGATCAGTATATCCAGGACCAGGAGCAGCTGACCGATCACTAGACTCAGCTTCGTAATCTGCAGCATCACTCTTCCCTTTTAGCTGCTAATCCACGATTCAGTTTATTCAAAAAATTAGCATCAAATGAGCAAACCATATCATATAAATAATTATAAAATGAAAATAATTGATCAATTGAAAATACATAATGACTATGAAGAGAATGATTATTATAATTAAGCATACAGGTCCATTAGCTGGAAAGATGTTAGCACATCATACAAACCAATCTACGTTTCAAGCGGACTATGCTCTACAAAGAAAACTGGAAGCTTCCCAACTTATAAATGGAAGGATTCATAAATCCATAATTCTACAAATACAAGCTAATCTCTAGTGCATTCTAACATCTGCAAAGCCACATCAGAGAAATAAACATCATTGCTATTACCTTTCTTATTTCCTAAACCACCTTTCGCTTCTTCCACATGTAGGCAGCTTCCAATATCTTGAGGTTTTGGGTATGTGCTTCTTCTCCTGATCCTGGTCTTCTGAACACATTGCTTCCACTACAGCAGATGCCTCAAATTTCGCATACTGATCCACACCTTTAGGTGTTTTTTTTCGGTCTAGGAGTCTCTTGTAAAGTTCTCTAGCTCTCTCAGATTCACCCTCTGATAGTTCAAAGTCAATGTATGCCTTCCACAACAATTCAGGCATGTCAAGACTGTTACCTCACATAGGAAGTAGAAACATTGCGTTAATAGTTTACATAATTTTGGACCTCTTTATCGATTATCAATTGATTTTGAGTTGGATACTGAAATTCTAATAATAGTCAAAGGGAAAGAGAGTTGAATGTGTTACTGTTCAGAGTAAGGAAGCGAGGCTGGGCATGTTGATTCAAGCCCACGTTTCTTTTTTCTCTTTTGTCTTTTTGGGGTAAAACTCATGTTTCTTTGATTGGTGAAGCAAGAAGCCGACTGGAAGTTGATATAGAGATTCCAAAGTCTTTCCTTGTCATGCTTTTAAACGTGCTTATAAATATCATTGCTTTTATTCCCACAGGATAGGGCTTGCCGTCGACCTCTAATTACATAATTTAAATACTAAATCCAACCAACTATTTTTAATACATTTCTGTGTGTGGGTGTTCCATTACACTAAAATAATGCACTATTTCCATGTGTGGTATTGGTCAACGTATAGTTGACCACTATTCCAAAATCAAATAACAAAGAGAAATGGTTAACCTTGAAAGCAATATTTTCAAGTTGGTTGATATTGTTGACCAAGAAGAAAGAGTTAGTTGGCCTCTTTTTATTTCATGCATTTATTTATTTATTTATTTTTATCTTTTTCTGCCTACTGTAGACAGTCTTGTTGGAAACACACAAAGAATTTACCAGATGAATGCGAGTTTTATCTGTAAGACTCGTAAGTCTATTTGGTCAAACAAAGAAGTTTTCAAACGGAAGAAACCAGTCTTTTTCAGTCTTCCTTTTTTGTATCAATAAAATTTGATCATGATATACCATCTCCCAAATTTGATCATGAATTTCTCTTCTTGATACATAAAGTTTTGGTGTCCATGAGTACAAATAACGTATTAACATCTCCCTTCGAGATCTAATGAGATTATGCTAGTGAAAAGGCTGATCATGCATGTTTCTCACTTAAATTTTAAATTTTAACTCTCAAATTTACCTATGTGCATTTTATTCCCCCGCTCTTTCAATATCGCCGATATAATATGTATACAAATAAATACCAATTATTTTTTCAATTAGTAGAAACGCACAAAAAGAGAAATTCAGGGTTTTAAGCAGAGCAGGCCAATTGATTGAAAATAGTACCAAGAAAAAGAATAGTTCAGTTATAAAGAAAAGAAGACATCCAATCCAATGATTCATTGAATTGGGAAGGAAGGAAAGGGACAGAATGATAGAGAAGAAGAAGAAGAAGCCAACCTGGACCAATTCTCATCCATCATTATTATTTATTATTATACATTACTGTTACTTACAAATAAGTCCACGGTCAACAGAGACAACAAAACGCATCCAACACACTTGACCTCATACACGCACTCTCTCCTTCTCTCTCTCTCCTCAACCAATTTCCCAGCACCATCCCTCCCTCCTTTCACTCCTCTGTCTCTCCATGTATATATAAACCCCAAAAAACACACAAATACTCACAACTTCTCTTCAGCTCAGAAGCAAAAACAAAAACAATAAATAATAATAAAATATTTCTCTTCAATTATTTTCTTCCGGGATCCAGACATGTACGGCGGCGGCGAAGATCCGAATCCGAAACAAAAACCCATCGTGATCCGGGAAGTGTGGGCCCACAATCTCGAATCCGAATTCGAGCTGATCCAGAGCGTCATCGACGCCTACCCTTTCATCTCCATGGACACCGAGTTCCCGGGCCTCATCTTCCGCCCTGCCGTGGACCCCACGAGGCCATACAGCAGCCAACTCCGGCCGTCTGATCACTACAGGGTCCTCAAATCAAACGTCGACGCCCTCAGCCTCATCCAGGTGGGCCTCACCCTCTCCGACTGCCGCGGCAATCTCCCTGACCTCGGCGGCTCCCCCACGCGCTTCATCTGGGAGTTCAACTTCAGCGACTTCGACGTCGCGCGTGACCCCCACGCTCCCGACTCCATCGCCCTCCTCCGCCGCCAGGGCATCGACTTCGACCGCAACCGGTCCGAAGGGGTCGATTCTGCCCGGTTCGCCGCGCTGATGATGTCATCGGGGCTCGTCTGCAACGACTCGGTGAGTTGGGTCACGTTCCACAGCGCGTACGACTTCGGCTACCTGGTCAAAATTCTCACGCGCCGGAACTTGCCCAGTGGCTTGGACGAGTTTTTGAGGATTTTGAGGGTCTTTTTCGGAAACAGAGTTTATGACGTGAAGCACATGATGCGCTTCTGTAAGAGCTTGTACGGTGGGTTGGACCGGGTTGCTAGAACCTTAGAGGTGGACCGGGCGGTCGGAAAGTGCCACCAGGCCGGTTCGGATAGCTTGCTGACATGGCATGCGTTTCAAAAGATGAGGGATATGTATTTTGTGCATAGCGGGCCTGAGCAACACGCTGGAGTGTTGTATGGGTTGGAAGTGTTTTGATTATTTAAAGATGCAAAAAATTTATGAATTAATTTGTATATTAAATTTAATTGCTTTCTTAATTGGGGCAATTTAATTAATAAGATAAAAAATTCTTTTTGGTATAACAATTTATGATGCGAATTTGATAATTTAGGACTATTTCTATAGAAAGTCCTGAAACTATAAGGATCCTGAGCTCTGCATTTAGAGAATATGTATTTATCCGCATTTTATAAAATCTCAATCATTCAAATCATCTAACGACTTAAAGCAAGCCACATCAGCTAGAGTATAGATTTGTAACGTTCTTTAAAAATTGACGGTAACAGTCCCTTCATCTCTCAACCCCAGTATCCATAATCCTCATCATGACTATAACTCCATTAAGGACTAAGCATCCATCTTCCAACATTTGCCAGATTTCCTCCTTTTGAGCCATCTAATTCCTATTCCTGTTCATCCTCCTCATGACTGCTTGTCATCAACTTCCATGGCAACCGCCCAATATTTCCATCCTCCTCCATATCCCCAATTTTATTTCATTATAAAAATTAATTAATTTATTTATTTTTAATTTCACTCATTTCTTTTTTCTTTTTCTTTTTGTATGATGTTAGATCCCCTCACCCTATCCCATAACAGATCTTCCAATTTGAGATAAGGAGGATTATTATAAAATTGGTATTATGGAAGTGGCCTTCTGTTTGTGTAAATTACAGAGTCGGTTGAGAAGCAGGCTTGGTAATTTGAAATGGGTTGGTGTTTCTTAGGATCGGGTTAGGAATTTTTTATTATTCATCAAAAAAAGAAAGGGAAAAGATGGAGAGTGACAATGAAGTTGGTTCTGAGGAGAAAACAAGGAGTAATGAATGCCATTATCATTAATAAAGGCAAAAACATATTTAACTGATTTGGCTTGGTTTAAGTTGTTAGATGATTTGAATGTTTGAGATTTTATGAAATACATGTAAATGCGTACTCTCTAAGTGTAGAGGCTCGGGATCCCAAAATATTTCAATTCTCTTAAGATCACAAGGCACAATTTGAATAGGTATACTTTCAATTATATTGTTGAATATATATTCATTTTGATAATATGTATTTTTAGGTTGCATTTAATAAGTATTTATTTTTTGGTATGATTTAATTATTTTTTTTCTAGAACAACTGTAAAAACTAGGAATTGTATGTTCATTTTTTATTTTTTTAAATCATTAAAATTTAATCTAAAAAATTTAACTAGCCCAGTCAAAAAAATTTGGTTCCGCTCTTGCCTTAACCGTCCCACCTTACCCCATCTCTAGACCAATTGAAAAATTAGAACTTTATTGTAACCAAAAAAATAATCAGAACTTTATGTCAGAAGCCCTTTACTTGAGGCTCTAGTCCATATTAGGGGTGGCATTTTAAACCGAAAAAACGCAAAAACCAACCGACAATTTACCGCAATCGCGGTAAACCGAACCGCATTTGCGATATTAAGAACCGAATCGCATTTGCAGTTGCAGTAGCTGTATTTGATTTTCAAAAGTTGCGGTTACCGCAAACCGCAAAGTATAGCCGCACGGATGATGAGGTTGAATTCTACAAGGAAATGGAACATATGACAACTTGTAAGTAATTAGTTTATTTATGCTAATGTTATTTATGCTTCTTCTTATAATAAAATGTACTAAACTATGTTGTTTTATTTGTAGATAACATTGGTGCTTAAACAACACAACGGGGTTCTTCAAATCCACTCACCACCAACACTTGAGTTTGTAACATTGGTGCATTGCATTTTCCTTTTAGTTTGTAACTTTAATTAACTTTGAATTGAATTTTTCTTTTTGGTTGTAACTTTAATTCATTTTGCTTTACATTTTCCTTTTAGTTTGTAACTTTAAAGGATTTGGAATTGGAATGCTTGAGAAGTTTAACTTTAATTGGAATGCTTGGAATTGTAACTTTAATTTTCTTAGGTTGTGAATGCCTGAGAAGCTGAGGAGATTGTGAATTTATATATGCTTGAGAAATTGAGGTTGTGTATTTATTTATTTAGGTTGTAAATTTATATTTTTGTGAATGCTTGAGAACTTGCGGTTTTAAACCACTAATTCGCAGTAACCGACCGCATTTTGCGGTTTCAAAAATCACCAAACCGCAAATAGTCGGTCGGTTTGCGATTTGAGTAAAAATTCGCGGTTACCGAACCGCAACCACCCCTAGTCCATATGTAAAACTCCAAGCATGCTCAAGATAGCCCAAATCATGTTGTCCAAAATTGGGTACAATTTCAGTTAGATTTGGAATTTTTTATTTATTTAATTGGGTAGAAAAAGGAAAATAATAAACGCGTATGCCAATCATCAAAGTCTTTCTCTTGGTCGAAGTCGAAAGGCCAATAATTGAAGTATGAGTTTCCTTGTTCTTTCTTGTTTCACTATTGACATGATTTTCAGCGTGCATAATGTAACAGCAGAATGATTCACTATCACTACTTCTTTCTTTATGTATAAATAGATAGGGATCATTAAAATATGCATTAATGTTGGCATGTTTTTTTATATTGAGGGAGTCAATATTGTGTCCAATATAGGATCCTAAATTATTTATAAATAAATAAAAAATTATATGAAATGGACTTTAAAAATACACCAAAGTCCCATTTACAACATAACAAAGAGGATTCGAAGTTCCTATAAATTACAAAATTGCCATCGATTTCTTAAAACAAGCCCAATCAAAAAACCTCCTTAAAAAAACCCCATAACACTCAATAATGCATCAAAGTAATTTAGTCATATACTCATTCTTAGCACGAATGATATAGATAAACCCTACACCATTTAATTTCTATAGAGAAACCCAAAAAAAATTCCAAAAAATGACAGCTAGTTCTATTGAATTTAATTTTTATTACTTTGATGCCCTATTTAGTGTTTTGGGTTTTTATTTATTTATTTATGAGGTTTTGGAGTTGGACTTGTTTTAAAAAATCGATGACAGTTTTGTAATTTATAAGAAGTTGTAAATAGGCTTTGGGTGTGTTTTTAAAGTCTATTTTATATAAGGGTTTTTTATATTAAAAAATAAATAAATTGGGCCCCTATATTAAGTACAATAGTGAATCTCCTAATTAAATTCAACAGAACCAACTGTCGGTTTTTGGATTTGTTTATAGAAATTGAATGGTGTATGATTTATTTATATCACTAATGCTAAGAATAAGTATATAATTAAATATCTATTTCATATTCAGTATAAAACGCTAACAGTTCATATCAAGTTAATTCATTGAAAACACTCATTCATTAAGCAGACTAAATTGGGTTTGTTATGCATCCAAATTTGAAACTTGCCCAAATTGGGATCCTCTATTGAATTGTGGCAGAAAAAACGATGAAGAGTAGGCTTAGCTGATTTGATGTTCTCGAACACAAGCCTATATCTGATGCATTTCTTCCTGGATTAAGTTTCAGAGAAAGAAAATCTATACTATTTGCAACCAAGACTTTAAACTTGAAATTGAAGACTAAAAAGTACTGCCACTTTTTTGGTGCAACCCATCTTGACTTTGACCACATTCCAAGTCTCTATCCCCAAAACAAACAATTTAAAACACAGTAAAATAAATAAATAAAAGGAGATCGACGTGGTGGGCAGTATTTTTCTTTGCTCCCACCGAACGCCAACATCACCTAACCAATAATACTCCTATCTATGAGAGAAATTTTCATGCAAGTAGGATAATACTTTTTATTATTTTTTGCTAATAACACGTAGTATAATATATATCATTATATTATTGATCGTGAATAGTAAAATAATATTATCCCAATACAAGTAAGTATTTTTCCTATCCATAGACTTAATATAATTCCAATCCAATCAGCATCCCAGTTGGCCCCACCTGTTTACAACTTATAACCCACTTTCAATAAACAAACCAAACCAGGAAAGAAAATATAAGAATTGGAAATTGGAGAGAGAGAGAGAGAAATAAATAAATAAAAAGGGAAAGCCAACAGCCAATATGAGCAATTCTGTTCCGTTAATCCAACACTCATAAAAGAAAAACCCCCCTCTCTCTCTCTCTTCTCCTACCCGCAGAAGTAATTTGACTTCCCTCTTTTTCCAGGCAACATCCCTTTTCACCCTCCTCCTATCTCCATATATAAACCACACACCCCCACGCCACTCTTCACTCATTCAATACCCGTAAAGCTTTTCTCCATCAATTCAGACTCAGTTTTCGTTTGTAATTCGAGTGATTACGAGAGTTGAGTTTCATCTTTAGTATTTGGTAAAGACATAATTAATTTCTCACTAAAACATGTGCGTCAACGAGGATCAAAGTTCGAGCTCATGTCCGAAGCCCATCAAGATCCGGCAGGTGTGGGCCCATAATTTAGAATCCGAATTCGAATTGATACGCTCCGTGATCGACAACTACACTTACATCTCCATGGACACGGAGTTTCCAGGCCAGATATTCCGGCAGCCGTACAGACACGATTTACAGCCTTCCGATCACTACAAGACTCTCAAATCCAACGTCGACGCCCTCAACCTCATCCAGGTTGGCCTCACCTTGTCCGACGCCCACGGCAACCTCCCCCACCTCGACTCCTCCTCCACGAGCTTCATCTGGGAGTTCAACTTCAGCGACTTCGACGTCACGCGTGACCCCCACGCTCCCGACTCCATCGCCCTCCTCCGCAGCCAGGGCATCGACTTCGACCGCAACCGGTCCGAGGGGATCGATTCGGCCAAGTTCGCTGAGTTGCTGATGTCATCGGGTCTCGTCCTGAACGAGTCTGTGAGCTGGGTCACGTTCCATAGTGCGTACGACTTCGGGTACCTGGTCAAGATTTTGACCGGCCAGCAATTGCCAAGTGGCTCGAAAGACTTGGAGGAGTTTTTGAAAATTGTGCGGGTCTTTTTCGGAAATAGAGTTTACGACGTGAAGCACATGATCCGCTTCTGTGATGGCTTGTACGGAGGGTTAGAGCAAGTTGCGAAACGTTTGGAGGTGAACCGGGCTGTCGGGAAGTGCCACCAGGCCGGTTCAGATAGCTTGCTGACGTTGCATACGTTTCAGCAGATTACGAAAAAGTGTTTCGCTAATTATAACGAGGTGGAGAAGCACGCGGGAAAGTTGTTTGGACTGGCAGTGGTTTGATTTTTCATATTTAGGGTGTAGATAATTTATTTTTCATATTAGGAAATTTGGTAAATATTATTACAATTCTTTTCTAATGCAAGCCATGCCTTAGGTTGATCATTGTGGTATGCGCCACTATTATTATTATTTTTAAATATGGAATGGGGATTGGAACTTGGACTCTCCTTCCAATATTAACAAGAAAATTATCACTAAAATAAGCACTTGTAAGTTTCGCACCGTTATTTTACTCAAACAAAGCAACAACCTTCTTTTTTGTGAGAAATTCTGGAATTGCATTCATAAGTCACTTGAAAAAACCACAAGCCGTAAAGAGCAATTACAATAACAGAGCGATTTAATATCAAGATTAAGATATCGAAGAAATTCTGGCATAAGCATCACAACTAAGAGTAAGAGTGCAAACTCAAGATAACCAAAAATAGATAAAGCTTGAAAAAACCAAACCATAATAATACAAATAAAACTCTCACAAAGGAGATATGGAAAGCTCTCACAAAAGAGGGGTTCAAAACTCTCACAAAAGGAGAGGTAAAAACTACACAGCAAACCCAAAGAGTCTATATGACTTATTCCAAATATAAAGAAACCGCAAAAAGAATAGTGGTAGAGATTCGACATTGAGATGCATGTGAAGATCCGATATCAAAATGCATCCGACTATGACAAGACAAAGGGGCCATTGTCGGCAACCCTGCCTTTACCCTCTCAATCTCTCACTTTCTCTTATGGTTGTGATATCTCAATCCTAAATTTGGTATTTATAATTTATTATTGGAGAGCTTATAGGTTTTTCGGAGTAGTTTGGCCTCGAAGACTACATGTTTTACTAATTAGGGTTAGGCTTAACTTTCTTTGCTTGGGGAAAATAGTTAGTTTTTTGGGTCTGATATTGAGCTAACTAGATAGATCTTAAGGCCACACACTCATTTAATTTTTATTTTTGCAGATCCATAGAAGGTTTCCTTGAGATTGGATGGTTTGGGTTGTGTGCTTGGGAAGTAGAATTCTTGTACCGTATATTTGATTTGGTTTATTTGGTCCACTATACTAGCTAGTTTTTATTGTAATTTATATTTATGCTGATTTTTTATTTTATATGATTGTGTTTACTAGCGGGATTCCACGTTGAGTTCATTTTTGAATACTCGAAGGATTTAGGCCAATGACATATCAATAATTTCGACAAGGCATTCAGGATCTGGGTGTAACAAAAATGTTAAACTACAGTCAACATGGAAAACTTTGATCAGGGGATTCCATTTGAAATTTCGTGAACCAGAACCGTTTAAAAGTAACTAGGAAAAACATGTCAAAATATAATGGGTCACATCACAGCAAATTGATAACAAAGAAAAAGGGTACGTAAATTATCTCTCGATTGGTTGAATCAGAGGTTTGAAACCTTCAAGCAGCCAATAAATATTTATGTAAACTCTTCTCTCCCAATCACTTGTATAAAATTAATTTTTTTTTAAAAAATTGATGTAGAACAAATGGCTGAATGGATTGAAGAAGAACTGGAGCGAAGAAGGGAAAAAGAACGTAGCAGGAATTTAAAGATTTGGCGTCTGAGCTCCGATTGGGTCGCATAATACGTTCTCGATATGATCTACAAAATTCCCAAATAATTGAATTCAATTTAAACAAAATATTAGACTAGTCAATTACTTAAAATTAGGGGTGGGCATCGGGACCGGAAAATCGGAACACTGAACTGGACCGGTGAAAAAAAACTGGAAAAAAAACCGGTTGGCCAAAAAAGTCAACAAACTAGACCGAAACCAAACCAAACTGGTTCCAACCGGTTCTGATTCTGGTTTTACACCGCACCAAACCGGACTGGACCGGTTGCATTTATTTTATTTTATTTTATTACAAAATTTTAAAATCCAATGCTATATTTTAAATTTTATAATTAATATTTTTCCAAATTCAACTTCAAAAAATTTCTCATTGTATGAATTGGGTCACTTGTTAATTTTTATTTAAAAAAATAAAAAAATATTGAAAAAAAATTAACAATTTAATAATTCGATTTAAAACCGAAACCGATCAGAACCGAATCGGCTAGTTTTTAAAAAAATTTTGCTTAAACCAGACTAGTTAAATAGTACTGATTTCGGTTCCGGTTTGAGATGAGAACCGGACTGTGCCCACTCGTACTTAAAATCATTAAATGAGTGAAAATTAGGGTACATTGAGGATGGTTACGACAGGCTTTCATCTGTATTCCTAGTTTATATATGGATCTCCGATATATAGTTGTTAGTTTGGTGGATCAAGAGTTGACATTACCCTTTGTTTGATGGCTTTACAATGATGACACATGTGCTTCAACCCCACAATTACTGCCCTGGTCAAGTAGCTTAACCTATATATGTGATATAGGGTTACGGTTTGATTATAGTGTTTATGTCATATGGGTTTTTTTCTTTTGGTGAAATAGGGGGATTAACCCTAAACACATAAAAACTAAATGACAAAGACAGTACAAGTTCTAGGAACTCTTAACAAATCATCATTAAAGGTAGCCTCAACCCAGCTTGTAATGATTATAGTGTTTATGTAATCTGGATTTTTTTTGTTATATGTATTTCTAGGTATGAGTCTATTTTATTTGAATTGGGCTTTTTAACTTTTTTGGATTGGGCTATTTATTTTGTATTTGGTTGAGTGTTTTTGTAGGCTGATTTTTTGTATTTGGGCTACCATGATGTATGGTTATTTCCTCTATTAGGCCTGGTTGTGAAAGGTCATTTCCTCTAACAATTAGGGTTTAGTCCCTTCTTTAAGTTGTCATCTAAATACAATCTCTAATTCAATGAAGGGACTTTTTTCTTGCCAAGTAACCATCAAGAGATTCAAAGACTCAACGACCTTCATCAAGCTTGTGAAAAAATTTCGAGCCTCATTTTCTATCAAGCACAAACTGGGGGCCCTTTTGAAGTTTAACCCTCAACAATTGCCATGTCATATTATCATTTGAGCTGCCACATCATCACTCAAGCAGCCACATGCATCACAAGCTAGGTTCAAAATAGTGAAATAAAATTAAACTAAGTTGTCACTAAGGAGATTGTACCGCACTCATATACATGGATTCATTAACAACTAACCATAAATACACCGCGGCTTATGGGTTTGTTAATTGTCACATATATATATGTAACCATGGCCACTAGACCACTAATGTTAGGGTTCTTCATCGGACCGGGCCTTATCGGGCTTTTCCTTTTTTTGGGCCGGCCAAAGTTTGAAAGGGATTGGCCCGAGTCTACCCATAGGGCCAGACCTAAGTGGGCTTTTTGAGTAGCGACATTTATGGGCAGCCCATTGCTTCTTCTTTTTTTGTGCCTTATATTGCTTTGCCTTATTTTCATTCCAACCATTTAAGTAAATGTCTTGTCTTTTTACTTTAATTTATTTTTATATTACTCTATTTATTTAAGTTTACAATGTAAATAAGGAAGTACCTCCCATTTGGAATGGAAATAAGGCAATATAAGGCAAAAGCAATAGAAAAACAATGGGTGGGCCTACTTGGGTCGGGCAGGAGGTTTCAAATCCTAAGCCCAAGCCCTACTCAATCTTAAAACAGACCGGGTCGAGCGATCCTAACCATCTGGCTGGGCCGAGCTTTAGCCCATCGAACCTCGGGCTTCCCACTTCAGCCTGCGGGCCAAATGATACTCCCTAACTAATGTACATAGGTGAACTATGGGTTTTGCCTCTTTAGCTAGTAGTATGATAAATTTATGAGGTATTTAGTTTATATACCCATTCTTAGTACTAGTGATATAGATAAACCCTATACCATTTAATTTCTATAAACAAAACATTTAATTTCTATAAATAAACCCAAAAAAGACAGCTGACCCTATTGTATTTAATTTGATTATTAAATTATTTTGATGTCATGTTGAGTGTTTTGGGTTTTTCTTTTAATGAGGTTTTGGAGTTGGGCTTGTTTTAAGGAATTGATGGCAGTTTTGTAATTTATGGGAAGTTCGAAGCTTCTTTGTTATGTTGTAAATGAGCTTCAGGTGTGTTTCTAAAGTCCATTTTATGTATAAAAAAAATTATAACTTGAGCCCATATTTTGGGCATAATAGTGAAACTCTCTAAATTTATTTTGTTGGATTGTTTTTTTGTTTGATCAAACTCAAGAAAATTTCCGCACATAGTTAGGAAACCCCAGTTTAGACAATCGACAAAGAAATAGTGGCTGCATAATGGCCTTTGACAATAGGCACCAAAATCAGTGTCCTTTACTCCCAACGCCACCATTAAAAATTGTGTGTGTTGATCAGTTTTTTACTAGTGGCTTAACAGGTCATATACTTTATTCTTGATATACAATTGATGTCCCACATTTCAAACCATGCTATGTTTGGCTCAAACCTAAGTTTTAAGGTCTCCTAAGGGGACACTTATTGGATATGGGTTACCTATTTCTCCAAAACTGCCGTTTCTGAAAGAAAAAAAAAGGATTGAAATTGCAAGAGTTAGATGGTGTGAATAGGTGTTATCTCATTTGTGGACATTGAATATGTCATTGCTAATTAATTTTAGAAAATCAATAAATAGGGCATGTTAAGTTTGATAAAATCGCCAACGAGTCTAATCCGGTGAAAAAGTGCATTGATTCTTGGTGACTAGTAATCTTAGGTTCGAATTCCCATGACATAAACGTTTGTATGAGAAACCCCTCTCCTATTCTAGTTTAAACTATCACTTGTATACAAAAAGAAAAAATAAGTTTGATGAGAAACCATCTTTATTCTATGGTAAGATGAAGGTATTCCTACATGAGAAGTACTGCAAAGCTAAGCCAGTAAATGCTTATGCAATCAGACAAGAATATTGAGATCTCTCCAATATGCCATTGCCAAGCACCAACCAAACATAGAAACAGCAACAACGATGGCTGAACTGCAAACTCATTAAAACCACACACACAGTTAGTATTGAATACCCATGTTGGAAATTCTACACTAACATAAAAACACAGACAAAAAAAAAAAGAAAAAAAAGAAGAAGATTTTCCTTTCATTTTCTTATATATAAAAAATTCTAAGCTATTTAAAATTTCCTATCTGTCCACCATCCAAGAAGAATTTACATGTAAGGGAAATATCACTTTAGCGATATTTCAAATATGTCGAAAAATTAAAATACATGACAGTAACATCCCATTACATGTAAATTTTTCTCCCACCGTACACACGAATCCAAATGGGAAAACACCTCTCTGCATCTGCTTTAATCTTGAGTACCAACCCCATGAATTTATGGCTAATGAATTTTCCCAACCTCTCCCACTTGCCCATCGATTCAATGCATCACATGGCCATGACACATGTCACCGCTGGGATTCACATGATCGGTTTCTTACTTTCTCTGATCAGATCATTCCAGATTTGTGTAAAAACTTGGATAATAACATCATGGTGGGATGCAGAGTTGAGTTCAAGAAAGCAGCTGAGCAGCTCCTGTAGATCCTCCTTTGAATAAATCTGCTTCTCTACGATCATCTGCAGCATAGACTGCCTGAAGTCTTGGTAGGGATCGTTGGATTCCTTCACCACAGCAATGCTGTCGTCGATCTTTGTCCACTTGGGGCTTGGGAACTTGGTGTTCTTTGGATTTGTGCTTTCTGATGAATCAGACGGGTGTGAGGAGGAGTTGTTGTTGAAGGAGATGGTGGTGGAGGTGCACTGGTCCTCATTATCATCGTCATCATCAACAGTGAAACTGCCATTTTTGTCACAAGAGCTTGAAGAGGAACGTCGTTGGGGAGTTGGGTTTTGGGGGATTTGGGTTTTGGGTTTTGGAGTTGGCTCATATACATCTGAGAGCTTTGGCTTGCCACAGCCACAACCTGCAATATTGGATATGAGTAGAGTTTTGGTAAGCTTGTGCTTTTTGCTGGAAGACATTGGAGGGAGGGAGGGAGGGAGATATAGAGAGAGTTGTTTTACTATTGCCTTTAGAGAGAGAGAGAGGGAGAGAGAGAGAGATTTTGGTTTAAGGAAGCTGGGAAAGTATTGTTGGTAGGAGTCTTTTTCAGCAATCAATATTTTTGCTCTGGCATGAGACTTGTGTGAATGAGAGAGGAGGTGTGTCTTGGTAGGAGTCTTTTTCTGTATTACTGTTGAAGCAGAGGTGGGTTTTTAATTTTTTATTTAAGAAGCATTTGACTTAAGATTCTTAAAAGCATTGGAAATCAAACTTAAAAGCATGTGTGACCTTGGCTCGTGATAAGATTCTTCCCTTTCAAGTTTATCATCTATATCTTATATCAAAACAATATTTTATAAGAAATTAAAATAATTTTATGTAATATTTCTCAATGAACATATCTAACTGATTGTTTAGCTTGGAAGGAAACAAAATTTGATTATTTTTTTTTCTTCTTTATAAAATAATAATCAACAAATTTTTATTTTCGGTTACGTACAAATTTTTTAATAAGCATAATAATAACTGAAATTGAAAACTAATATCTAAGATTCTTGGCATGAAACTAATTTGGAGTCGATAAAAATATTGAATTTTGGAGGGAATAATGACGGATTCCGATCTGAATTAACCGGTACAAAAAAAAATAAAAAAAATTGAACCAGGCCCAAAAGCCCATAACTAGGCCGACAGAGTTCTTTAGAAGCCTATGGAGGCCCACGGACTAACGAGACCAGGCAGGGTCGTCTAATGCATGCGGTCAGTCCTAGAAGCCCACGCGCAACTTATTTAAAAGGATTAATTGAGATCCCACGCGCAACTTATTTAAAAGGATTAATTGGCCCATGAATTCCACTAACGCCTATTTCTCCCAAAAGGAAGAGACGCATGCTAACGCATAGCTAACCAACTACCCAAAAGGTGCCACGTCATCAACGAACCTTCAGTCTCATATCGAAACAACACTAATATAGGAATCACTCTCTCTGCTATAAAATAAGCATAATTTTCCACCTAAAATATAACTTAACTTCTCGTCAAAAGTACATGACTTAACTTATCCTCCTATATGGGCTTTTTTCTTCCGGCAGCTACTACGGGCTTGGCAACTACTACGGGCCTGGGCTGCCGTAAATACAAAATGGATGAAATTGCCCATTGAGCCTGAGTTCGAAGATCAAGCCCCAATAATGCTTCGAAAGGACAGAGATGCCTTAGGAAACACTTTGGTTACCTGCACCAATAAAAATAACAATAACTTACAGATAAATTCTTGACTTAACATGAGAAGCTTGTGGTATGGGAGCTGAGCATTCATGAGTTTAGCACGAGAGAGAGAGAGAAATGGCTGCGATTTCCTATGAGAAACAGAGTTTTTAAGGCATGGGGGAAGGGATTCTAAGAGGATTCATTGAGGAGAGAGAGGGGGAGAAAGATGAAGGCAATTGATGTTTTTCCAGCAACTTGATAGAGGCTTTGTCAAGTGTTAGAACAGCTTACCAAGAGGGAAAACTAAGGAGGAGGAAGATGAATTGAGCACGAAATTGTAGAGTTTCAGAGGTGAGAGGTAAAGCTTGCTCTCCATATGTGGCTTGTGATAATGGGTAGGAAATGCCTCTTTTTATAGGTGCTAGAAGCTATTATTTTCCAAGAAACCCTAATGGTTTCTATCCAATTTGGCAAAGTCTTTCCTTTCTTTTCTCCCCTCATCCCTTCAATCATCCTATTTTGGTGAAATCCACTATACCCATTTGCACAAAATCAGGGATTTTTGGGAGCTCAAGGCCCCCTTTCCCGCAGCTGTTTCAGTGGGAGACTCCTATTTTCAGCCATCTTTCTTTCTTTTTTTCTCCCCTATTCTATGGCTAGATCTGATGGGGGAAAAGAAATGGGTATGTTCACTGGTTTGAAGGGTGTTTTGCTCAAGTATCTATTGATTTTTCTGATGGCTTGCGTTGGGTTTGTGTTTGGCCATGTGCTGGAGATTCCAACAGCCTACAGATGTGAGTGATTTTTGGCTTTTGTCATGGTTTTGTCTCCAGCCATGTGCTGGAGATTTTTAGATATTTTGTTGGTCACTTGGGTCATTCTTTAAGGTAATGGGCTAGTTCACTAAAGGGATGGGCCAACTTCCCAAAGTGATGGGCTATCTTTTCTAAGGTAATGAGCTATTTTATCTCCTTTATGCTTACCCACATATTTGGGCTTAATAAATGGGCCTGAGTTTCGGGGCTCCCAAGCAGCCCAAAACTTTCATTTCTCGGCTCATCAATAGGCCTCATGAAAACTCGTAACCATCCATACCGCAACCTGCTCAACAAGTCTTAGACATCTTATGTGGCTTGGGCCCACTTAAGCTTGTAGCGTGACGTGTTGCTTATTTGCTTGACGTGACATGTGTACAAGCGCATATGATGAACTTTCGCGTGCCCAAATTGGGTTTATTCTCGGGAAGGTATGGCATTGGGCCGAGAATTCATTTAAGCCGAACCGTAGATTTTTTGGGCCTCAACACCTCCTAAAAGGTAACTGAACTTCTCACAAAACCAACTAGTTTATACATTGGCTTATTATCACAAAACGTCCCTAAGGTTTACGAAACTATCAGATTGCATCCTTAATTTTTTTTTTTTTGTCATTCATGGTCCTCAAGGTTAGTATCTGTGATTACAAATGGTCTCTGCCGTTAGGTTTCGTCAAAAACTCCGTTAGTTTGCTGACGTGGCATATACATATATTATAAAACATCCATGAGGTTCACGCACCTATCACAAAAGGTCCCTACAAATTTTTTTTAAATTTTATGAATTTTAAAATATATATTATATTTAAAATACATGTGACACTATATTATTCTAGATGTGGACTCCATATATATGCCACATCAACAAACTAATGCAGTTTTTAAAAATAATTTAAAAATAAAAAATTAAGGGTTTAGGGTTCATAAATGGTCCTTAAGATTAAAATCCTTTTATAAATGGGTTCATAAATGGTCCTTAAGATTAAAATCCTTTTATAAATGGTTTTTTCATTTATAAATCATTTTAAAAAGAAAACCAAAATTTTATGAATTTTAAATTTAAAAATTTTTAAAAAATTGTAGGGACCATTTGTGAAAGGTGTGTGAACCTCAGGGATGTTTTGTAATTTATATATATGCCACATTAGCAAACTAACAAATTTTTTGACTGAACCTAACGGCAGAGACCATTTGTGATTACACATATTAACCTTGAGGACCACAAGTGATAAAAAAAAAAAAAAAAAAAAAAAAAAAAATTAAGAAGGATGCTAATAAGTATGCATAATACCTTAGAGACATTTTGTGATAATAAGCCTTATACATTTGAGTGTCCATTATAATGTCAAATCTAGGCTTTGGGTATTTTAACTACAAAAACCTAAGGCTCTAACGACCACATTTCTAGATACAGCCCTTTTTTTTTTTTTTTTTTTGGGGTTTGGTGATGGATTTGAGAGGTCATGACCAAAATTTCAATCCGGATAGCAAACTATGAGGGTTATCTTGAGCATGAGAGCGTTCGAAGCGCCCTCTCACATTGGGGTCCAGTTTTGAAGTTTTGGACACTCAACGTCTATAGTCCCACCACACAGCAACAATAAAGAAATTTACTAATAGATGTATACCAAGCAACCATATGTTATAATATACTGGAAAATACATATTCTTTCAACAACCAAAAGCCTATATCCATGTCCCTGTGGAATCCATTTCCTCTATCTTCGTGCATTTGATACGATATGATGCTATCATCTCATCACAAATTCACAATATCACTCTCTCTTTTTTCATCCTTTCTTTGGACTGACATGAAAAGATTCTAGGGAAGCTTTTTACTTGACGTAGAAGAAATTTAATTTGCCCAAAAGGGCTGGATCCAGAAGTAGAGGGAAGGCAGAAATGTAAGCTAGATTGGCAAGATTCGACTTCAATACAAAAGGACAAAATTGCAAATTCTAATAGTCACCATCAACACCATCTCATGTTTATTGCGAAAATTAAAAATAAAAAAATTTAGGGCAGTTCGATTCCAATTTTATAGATTTTATTTATTTTTGTTCGAGATAGAGAGAAATATATGGAAGAAATTAAAGATCAAGGAGGATATAGAGGAATGTTGAAGAAATACATATGAAAACAAAACTAAAAACTGAAAATAATCTTCAAGTTGTTTTCTTTTTCAAGTATTTGTTTCAAACATTCTACTCCATTCTTTTCTCCTCCCTCGTATATTTCTTCATCCCTAATTTCTCCCATATATTTTCCCTCTATCTCTAATGAAAAAAGTAAAGAGAAAAAAAACTGAAATCGGAATGGTAATCTACCACATTTAGAAAGAAAAACTATTCATTACCAACTAGGAATTGATCTAATGATATTTCTTTCTAACTTGTTAAAAGAAGTAGCAGTTTGAGCCACCTTCCCCGTATCAAAAGATAAAAAGAAGAAGAAAAAGAAAAAGAAAAAGAAAAAGAAACTACTCGTTGCCTAATTTCAATGTTCTAGTACTACCCAAATACACTGACGTTCTTTGTGGGTTTCTAACAACGAATATGAATTGCTCCTAATAGCCTACCAAACACACGCCTGATTGCAGTAACAACACTTCTGCTGAAGATTTTCAGATTACCAAAAAGCTGCATAGTCGACGAGCGCGGTACGGCTTCGCTTGGCTCTGGCATGGGCTGCAAGTAAGCCCAGGCAGCCTTCTGCACCAACAAGTTGCTAATTGGGATTTGACAAGCCGATTGCATAGCCAAAGCTTTTGGAGACGAACAAGTTTTAGGTCTTGTTGAGGAGGGCATCAGATCCTTGAGCGAAGTATATTCTAACACAGGAGAATTGAGCTCTGAACTGGTTGCGGGGAAGCTTTGACTTCGAAACTTTGTCCAAGAAAACCTTCTTCGTTGATTTGATGGCTCCATGCTGTTTTAGCTCCAACGAAAATATAGTTATGGGGTCTGGTTGGCTTTTGTTTTGAAAGACGAGGGTTTTAAAAGTTTGTATTTACATAGAGTGTGGCAGTTGATAGAGTGTCAAAGGGATTCAAGTTTCTGTTGCTTTGGAATTTTAGTTCAAATTGGTAACTGTTGGCAAAAGCAATTTTATTCTCTAGGGATTTGCTTCACGTCCTTCGGAGTTTGATCAAGGATGAAATGCCAATTATAATTTGGTATTAAATAATTAACCAATTATAATCACAGTTTGATCAAGGACGAAATATGCCAATTATAATTTGGGAAGTACCTATTAATTTATGCCACGTGCATATCTACACAAGTATTTGGGGCGTTTGGCTATATTACGAAGGATCATTTGGGATATACCAAAAATTTGAGTCAATTCAACTAACACCCCATTGGTAATTTTTATTACTTTACAACTGAAACACTCTGTTTGAGGTGAATTAAATATAGGACACCAATAACATAAGTAACTTGCTTTTGGTATTTGAGCTTCAAATTTTTGGGCCACCAAACCAAAGTATTTGTAATCAGGTTGGTACTACAATAGTGGTATGCCATACTTCTATTGCAAATATTAATTACCATTATGGTTAGCCGTAAAAGCATAATACCATCACATGTTAATATTTTTTTTTCTTGGTAAGACACACAGATGTATAATGTATGTATTTGAGTGTATATTAATACGAACCATAACATTGGTTTTGAGAAGTATATACAGAAAACAAAAAAGTATTTACTCCTACCGAACTTTCAAATTTAAGGGAGTTTTACTATTATGCTAAATATAGGGGCCTAAGTTATTTTTTTATTTATTTAAAAAAACCTACATGAAATGGAATTTAGAAACACACCAAAAACCCATTTACAACATAACAAAGAGGCTTCGAACTTCCTATAAATTACAAAATTGTCATCGATTTCTTCAAACAAGCCCAACCTCAAAATCTCATTTTAAAAAAACCAATAACACTCAACAGGGCATCAAAGTAATTTAATAATCAAAATTAAATTCAACATGGCCAATTGTCCTCTTTTGAGTTTGTTTATAGAAATTAAATGGTGTCGAGTTTATCTATATCACTAGTGCTAAGAATGGATATATAATTAAATACCTCAATTGTGGTCACTCACCGTTGGATATTAATCCAATGGTTCAAAAAAAAATTTTAAAAGGAGTGCAAGAGTGAATGAACTGTTGAATTTACATCCAACGGTGAGTGACCACAAATATCTTGGATCCCTGTAGTCCAAGATATCGGGATTGCCTCTTATTCTTATATATATTCAAGTGTTGAAACATATGTTTAAACATTAAAATAATACTAAATTTGCAAGTTCGGTTGGAGTAAATTCAATTTTTTGTAAAAAAATGTATATACTTCTCAAAACCAATAACAAATTTTTTTGGTAATTTTAGCTTCGGTTTATCCAACCAAAAAAATGTGGTGGGTTTGGTTTTTTCCGAAACAAAAGAGCACACAATATGCGGTGGGAGAGAGAGAGGTCATTTGGGCTCTTGAAAAAGAGGCCCAATATCTTTCTTTTATGGTTTGTGTTTGTCAAGGAAACCGACAATCTCCAACCAAAATAAAAAGAAAACCGACAATCTCAAGCCCACTACACACACAAAGGGCAAAAATTGTACATTGATGAAATCGTAAAGAGATAAAAAAAAATAGAGCGACTTGGATTGTCTTAGAGCCTCATGTGGTAAAGCTGCTTGTGCATCTTCTTCTGCTTCTTGCGTGGTTCAATTCAATTTCAAAGGGATTAAATTCCAAGACATTTCTTCTCAGAACACAACCCATTGAATTAAAGCATGTTTGATTAGAATTAGATAGAAAGTTTTGGTTGGCAAACAATGGCAACAGCTCTGCTAGTCCCCTGTCTTAACTCTGCTTCCTTCTTCAACAACAATGGACAATCAAGAAATCGCTGCTGTGCATCAATTCAGCCATCCAAGGCCAGCTCTTACTCCAAACGTTTCAGAGTCAGAGCCCTGAAAGAGAAAACAGAGGAGGAAATCAAAAACCCATCTTCTGCTGATTCAGCTGAGGAAATTACTAAGAAGTATGGCCTCGAAGCTGGTCTCTGGAAGGTACCCATTTCTCTCTCTTTTTCTTTATTTTATTTGTTCTTTCAATTTGGTTTCTTTCATACTTATTAGAAAGATAAATGTCAAGTAAATTAAATTCAGAAAGAAAAAAGAAAAACAAAAGAGGTATGAATTCAAAAGCACAACAGCAACTTGGTTTTGTTGCTAAGAACAAAAGTGAAAGAAAATATTATGAATTAATTAAGGGAAAAAAGGTCTAGTTCGTTTTGGGCTAATAGCTGAAAGCAGTGTAAGAGTTTGAGTAAATAAGTGGTAAATAGTAAGCTATATCTATATGTAGTCACAAAGTTTTGTTATGGAAAAATGCAGATATTCAGCTCAAAAGAGGAAGGAAAGGAAGGTGTGGAAAAGAAGTCCAAGGGAGATGATGCCAAGCAACTGCTAGCGAAGTATGGAGGGGCATACTTGGCCACCTCCATCGCTCTCTCCATAATCTCATTTTCGTTATGTTATGCACTTGTCAGTGCCGGGATTGATGTCCAAGCTTTGCTGCAAAAGGTACAAGCAAGCAATCTTCATATGAACCGAATGCAAACTTAACTGTTTTTATCATGTAAGATATTTGGAAGAATGACTTCTCATCCTACCTACTGTCTTTACTTTTCTTTTTCAGGTGGGAATCTCCGGCAGTGAGACCGGAGAGAAGGTTGGGACATTTGCTTTGGCATATGCTGCACACAAGGCTGCATCTCCAATTAGGTTTCCTCCAACAGTGGCTCTCACTCCCATTGTAGCCAGATGGATTGGAAAGAAAGTCGAAAAGGAGAAGTAACTTCTTCGGTTACTTAATCCATAAACAGGAGGTTTGCTCGTAAAGTTATGGTTTATACCCTTGTTTGTAAAATCAGCTGTATAATTTCTTAGTCATCTTTTTTCTCATCTGCCAATCAATGGTTATATATCATATACTCTCCCAAGTCTCTTGGAGTTTATACAATGGAAATTCGATTCGTTGCACAATATTGCGAAGTCTAATATCTACAATGTAACTTCAGTTTAGGTGATTGAGATGGTAATCATGCAAAATGACTGCCTGGACTTGGGGCATCTTGAAATCACATGAGCAAGAATGGAGTAAATTCAAATTATAAATTGATGATCAATTACAAAATGTGGTAATTCTAGTTCAGAAAATAGCTCATCAGTATAATTCAAAACAAAACGAGGCATCAGAACATAAATCCTTTCCTTTTTTGGGGTCCTGAAATTACCCAACATTCTCCCTATCCAACCTTATCCAGACTTATTACTAGCCAGTCTACTTCACTCTGGTTAATACAAGAAAAGCCTGCTAATTCTAACAATATACATGATGTACTAACAATTGTATCCCCTTAATTATTTGCCACCGTCTCATGGATATGTATATTACATTAATGTACAACAACAGCTACCTCCATCTTTGGTTCCTCAGATGGATCTTCCGGGAACACTTACCGGAACCTTCAACCCAAACTCCGCTGGTGAAACAAATACATGAGATGGTTGGACATCATAGGTTCTCAGAAAAAAAGAGTCCACTTCTGCAATTAGATTCAGTAAGAATCGTTTTTAGGTTTCAAGTCTTAGTACGGTTGGCAGTAGCCGGCACTTGAGTTGAACTAGATGGCGGAGTTTGTGGCCGTGGTGTGCTGACATTAACCATGGCATAATCTTCATCAATTGCACCCAACTCATTCCATACAACCCCTGCTATAGTTGATAGTTAAGAAATTCAGTAGACATATTTTGACCACTGAAATATTGACCTCAAAAAATAAATAATAAATGGAAAGAAAGACAACATCTTTCAGGACAAGGATACATTCTGTTCTCCACATATCTTTGATACTAATATAAGCATCTGAAAAAAGCCAGTAATCTGCATCACTCTGAAAAAAGGTAACAGAAAATGCTCACACTGTAAGTCAAATTTATTCTTTCCTCAGTACAACAAAAGACAATTTTTTTTTTTTTTTTTTTTTTTTTGCCATAATGTGTAAAGGGTTATTTAACAAGGTACGAAAAGATACCTATTTGGGTAAATAACTAAAACTCTAGAAGATGTTTTGCAATTAAAATAGGATTAGCAGAAGCATCTAATGGAAAGGGAAACTTCCACAAGGCCGCATCTCCAATTAGGTTTCTTCCAACAGTGGCTCTAGTGTGTGAGGCAAACCACCCCCAAACTAGGCGAGAAGCAGCAACATGTGAGGACAGCAACAGCAGCAAAATCTGGACAAATAACCTTTAGCGACGGTTTTTCTGCAGAAAACCATCACTAAAGAGTGTCTGGAACCTTTTCTCTACAAAAAATCCGACGAACAACCCTCACAAAAGGATTTTAGCGACGAAAAATCTGATGAACAGCCAGAAAATGCAGCAGTAGCAATTTTGGTATTTTGGCGCATATTTGAACTTCCAATCCACCTAAAACACAATGCAGGCCATATGGGACCCCAAAACTTGGTCCAAATCATCACCATAACCATTTTCAACATGTCTGAAACCTTGAATTCACGTGAAACACTCCATAGTGAAAATTATGAGGCGAAGCCAAAAATGACCATAATTGTTCCAACGTCGACACCCTCAACCTCATCCAGGTTGGCCTCACCTTGTCCGACGCCCACGGCAACCTCCCCTACCTCGGCTCCTCCTCCTCCACGAGCTTCATCTGGGAGTTCAACTTCAGCGACTTCGACGTCACGCGTGACCGCCACGCTCCCGACTCCGTCGCCCTCCTCCGCAGCCAGGGCATCGACTTCGACCGCAACCAGTCCGAGGGGATCGATTCGGCCCGGTTCGCTGAGCAGCTGATGTCATCGGGGCTCGTCCTGAACGAGTCTGTGAGCTGGGTCACGTTCCATAGTGCGTACGACTTCGGGTACCTGGTCAAGATTTTGACCGGCCAGCAATTGCCAAGTGGCTTGAAAGACTTGGAGGAGTTTTTGAAAATTGTGAGGGTCTTTTTCGGAAGTAGAGTTTACGACGTGAAGCACATGATCCGCTTCTGTGATGGCTTGTACGGAGGGTTAGAGCAAGTTGCGAAACGTTTGGAGGTGAACCGGGCTGTCGGGAAGTGTCACCAGGCCGGTTTGCTGACGTTGCATACGTTTCAGCAGATTACGAAAAAGTGTTTCGCTAATTATGACGAGGTAGAGAAGCACGCGGGAAAGTTGTTTGGACTGGCAGTGGTTTGATTTTTTATGTTTAGGGTGTAGATAATTTATTTTTTTGATAAACAAGGCCCCAGCACAAACAAAATTATTTATTTATTTAGGAAAACATCTTAACTATATTTGTTCTATATCATTAGGCAATTTGGTAAATAATATTACAATTCTTTTCTAATGCAAGCCATGCGTTAGGTTGATCATTGTGGTACGCGCCAATATTATTATTATTTTTAAATATGGAATGCGGATTGGAACTTGGACTTTCCTTCCAATATTAACAAGAAAATTATCACTAAAATAAGCATTTGTCAGTTTCACACCGCTTTTTTACTCAAACAAAATAAATCGCAAACTTTTTTTTTTATTGAGAAATTCTGGAATTGTATTCATATGTCACCTGAAAAAATCACAGGCCACAAAGAGCCATTACAATAACGAAGATGTGGAAAACTCTCACAAAAAAGAGGAAAAAATAGAAGCAATTGCACATAATCAACGGCTCATAGGCTCCTATATCACCTACTCATTGTGTTGTATACGTTTGGACTGAGTTACGTCACACGTGTGAGGACGTGTTGGGACTATTATCTCACATAGGAAGTAGAAACATTGCGTTAATAGTTTATATAATTTTGAACCTCTTTATCGATTATCAATTAATTTTGAGTTGGATACTGAAATTCTAATAACAGTAAAAGGGAAAGAGAGTTGAATGTGTTATTGTTTAGAGTAAGGAAGCGAAGCTGGGCATGTTGGTTCAAGCCCATGTTTCTACCCTTTTTCTGTTTTTGTGTTTTTGGGTAAAACTCATGTTTCTTTGACTGGTGAAGCAAGAAGCCGGCTGGAAGTTGATATAGAGATTCCAAAGTCTTTCCTTGACATGTTTTTAAACTTGCTTATAAATATCATTGCTTTTATTCCCATAGGATAGGGCTTGCCGTCGACCTCTAATTACATAATTTAAATTAAATCCAACCAACTATTTTTAATACATTTCTGTGTGTGGGTGTTCCATTACACTAAAATAATGCACTATTTCCATAGTGCATCCTCACTCTTTTACATTAGTATAAATAACGTATTAACATCTTTCTAATATCAAATATCAATAAAAAATTACAAATGAATAGTCATTTTAAAGCTTGAAGCATCAGAGCCGCTTTCTCCCTCTATGAGTCTTAAAGGAAAATTCCATAGAGAGGGGAGGAGGAAGAAGTGTCACTGCCCCTCCTCGTTCTTATCTTCTCGTCTTTTCCTTTTAGGTTAGTGAATAAATCCACTGAGGCAATTGCCGATAATGTTGTTGTGTTAATGCCTTTATTTCTTCACAGGATGGTTTATGACAAGGCTTTCTCTACAGTTGTTCGATTGGTCAATGTCGAGTATGGTGTTCTATAACTCACTTGTCAAGTTGGGCGATTTTTGGTTCCTTATTTAGTTAGAATTTTGGTTACTTACCAATTATTATTTAGTCCTATTGTAATAGAGATTTATTTCATATTGTAATTTAGATATATTTCCTATTTTATTTAGGGTTAACACTGTTAAATTCAGAGAGACGGGCCATCGGCCCACTACCAACAACACCGATATTGTCCCCAACTTAACCACCTACAAAGCCCAGTAGGTGTGAGGTTTTATCACAAAAGGTCTCGGTAATATTAGTAGTGGAATCATTAATTATATATTGTATTTTATTTAGTAAAGTTTCTGATGTGGGACTCATATTCTTCAACAGTTTCTTCTAAGTCATGGTTAGATTGAAGTACCCCATCACTCCTTTTAGTTTATGTTCTCAATCAAATCCTACTCCAAAACGCCGCTCATGTTCTTTAAATTTGATTTTACATTGTCTTTGACAGAGGTTGCTTCAAATCACCCAATTGTTCTTTGGCAAAGTTATTGTTTTCGTTTATTTGTTCGCTCTTATACGCAGGTAGAGCACTAGAAATCATATTTTCCCCAGATCTATTACAGATGCAGTGATGGGTTTGGCCGCGATGCTCTTCTTCAGGTGGTGGTGGTAGGGATTGTTTAGGCTCATGGGTTGATTTAGGGTTTTGGTTACGTTGGGTTTGTGCGCTTTATTTGGACTTATGGCTAATTGTGGTGATGTTGACTAATAGTTTTAGTGCGGCTTTTGTCTGCGTTAGTTTTGCTTTTAGCAAGTTAGTTTGTTACTCTCTTGGGATTGATATTTTAGATGTCTTGTTAATGTCTTTGATTGTACCATTAAAGTTTATCTAATGAAGTTTCTATTTGATAAATAAAATAAAATAAAATATATAAAAAACATCTTTCTGATCACATGTTATTTACAGTACCATACACTTTTCTCACTTAAATTTTAGATTTTAACTCTCCAATTTACCTGTGCACATCTTATTTCCACGCGCTTTCTGATCATATGCTGCACACAAGGCTGCATCTCTCCAATTAGGTTTCTTCCAACAGTGGCTCTCACTCCCATTGTAGCCGGATGGATTAGAAAGAAAGTCGAAAAGGAGAAGTAACTTCTTCGGTTACTTAATCCATAAACAGGAGTTTTGCTCGTAAAGTTATGGTTTATTTATTCCCTTGTTTGTAAAATCAGCTGTTTGATTTCTCAGTCATCTTTTTACCCATCTGCCAATCAATGGTTATATATTATATACTTTCCCACGTCCCTTGGAGTTTATACAATGGAAATTCGACTCGTGTTAATGGGTTGTTTACAAAATTGCGAAGTCTACTATCTAAGTGTTTGAACTCGGAGTTTCTACAATACAACTTCAGTTTAGGTGATTGAGATGATAATCATGCAAAATTACTGCCTGGACTTGGGGCATTTGAAATCACATGAACAAGAATGGAGTAAATTCAAATTATAAATTGATGATCAATGGCAAGACCCAACCCTTTTGCAGAGTAATTGGGCATCACAAAATGTGGTAATTCTAGTTCAGAAAATAGCTCATCGGTATAATTCAAAACAAAACGAGGCATCCGAACATAAATCCTTTCCTTTTTTGGGGTCCTGAAACTACCCGACATTCTCCCTATCCAACCTTATCCAGACTTATTACTAGACAGTCTACTGTCTACTTCACTCTGGTTAATACAAGAAAAGCCTGCTAATTCTAATAATATACATGATGTACTAACAATTGTATCCTCTTAATTACTAGCCACCGTCTCATGGACATGTATATTACATTAATGTACAACAATGCAGCTACCTCCATCTTTGGTTCCACTGTTCTTTTGTTCCTCAGATGGATCCTCCGGGAACACTTACCGGAACCTTCAACCCAACCTCTGCCGGTGAAACAAATACATGAGATGGTTGGACATCATAGGTTCTCAGAAAAAAAGAGTGCACTTCTGCAATTAGATTCGGTAAGAATCATTTTTAGGTTTCAAGTCTTAGTACGGTTGGCAGTAGCCGGTACTTGAGTTGAACTGGATGGCGGAGTTTGCGGCCGTGGTGTGCTGACATTAACCATGGGATAATCTTCATCAATTGCACCCAATTCATTCCATACAACCCCAGCTATAGTTGATAGTTAAGAAATTTAGTAGACATATTTTGACCACTGAAATATTGACCCCAAAGAATAAATAATAAATGGAAAGAAAGACAACATCTTTCAGGGCAAGGATACGTTCTGTTCTCCACATGTCTGTGATACTAATATCAGCATCTGATAAAAGCCAGTAATCTGCATCACTCTGAAAAAAGGTAACAGAAAATGCTCACACTGTAAGTCAAAGTTATTCTTTCCTCAGTACAACAAAAAACAATTTAACATGTCACACCTTTTTTTTTTGTAAATGATTTTTTTTTTGCCATAATGTGTAAAGGGTTATTTAACAAGGTACGAAAAGATACCTATTTGGCTAAATAACTAGAACTCTAGAAGATGTTTTGCAATTAAAATAGGATTAGCAGAAGTATCTAATGAAAAGGGAAACTTCCATTAAAATTTTGTTAATTCATTAAATACTAGTTTTCAGGATAATTTTCTACAGACATCTCAAGAGCATAATATGATACTTGTGCAGAAGTATTCTTCCCAGCCCCACTAAAGGCAACCAATGAAGAATACATTTTTTTTAGCATATTGAATCTTTCAAATAGGCAATGGTAAAATCAACTTAGAAGCCAAACTTACATCAACATCTGAGGGAACAATCTTCATCATCCCACTCATGATGTCCTGGGAAGCAGTGGGATCAGCGCACATTCTATGATCATCTGGTCCCTGAATTTCAACATCCTTCCCTCTATTCTCTGTGACCATTGTTGTAGCTGGGTTTTCATTAACCCCTGAACTTGAGGGGATGTCTGTAGGTACTTCAACACCATTAATCTCCTCGAACTTCTCCTCAAATTGACTAGCATGAGAGAGAGAGAGAGAGGAGAGAGAGGAGAGAGAGAGAGAGAGAGATTACTAAAATTCATTGTAATTCTCGACTATGCAAGCAGGAGAAACCATTCACTGTTGCTCTTAAAGTAACGATAATGTACCATGAAACAACAGTACCTGACAAGGTAGACATCTATTGGACCCATCGTGCTTCTCAGGACCATCCTGTATCTCCTTTGGGGATAGTCAACAGCCTAGTACATAATACAAAAGTTTGATTGAATATTAAGAATGTACAAGACTATAGAAATTTTTTAATAAGTAATATTTTGTCCTGAACTACCTCATCAGGATCTGGGACTTCAAGAGTGGTGCCATGTGGAGCTTTAATTGCTATTAAGGTTTCATTCTGATAGAAGCAATAAATCGTACGTTCAGTTTAACAACATAGAGGAGAACATTTTGTTAGAAAATACAGAGTGGGGGAAGAATGATAATTGCAGTGATGAGAATAGCAAACACCAAAACTTTACCTGCAAGCAAGGTAAGCCCTTGATGTCTTCTTCAGTAACAAAAAGCCATCTACCAAAGTAAAAAGGAAAACTGAGATAAGTGTTTGCATAAATTGCAACAGGGTAAGCTAAAAATATTAAAAACTAGCCAGTGATGACCTTCCATGGAATGTAATTGAATACTGAACATTAAAGGATAAAACTTTACTTCTTATTGCTTTCATCTTCGCTCAGGTCCCTCAACCTTTCCTGCATTTCTCTGGACAATTTAATAGCTTCAGCACAAAACAACAAATAACAATAGGAAAGAATGAAAAAGCAGCATCAGCCAAGGATTAACCTTATTTGCTGATCCAATCTGCGCTCCTCATCAGATAGGTTTTCAACTTGTGCCTGGGATAAAAAGGAAATTGTGAATGAGGTCATATCTGTACTTCAGAATTGGCAAACATTATTTTTGCTATGACGTGCAATGAATAGTTGACATATGTTATGTATGATCCATTGTCTCTAGTCTTAATCAACCATGACACTAATCTTAGGAAGCACAAGCAAACATAGGCCTTGGAAACTCTTTCCAGCCAATAACACAAATCTTGCTTTGACAGTCATTGAAATTCAAATGCATCACACAAACTTGGAACTGGACAAATGTGGACTGAAATCTAGCATGATCAACCAAAAACAAGTCTTGTCAAAGTAATCTAATCAAGAACGCAAATCTTGCTTTGTCATGCCAATCATTCATATCTGAATGCATTACACTGAAAAATGGTACTGGACAAAACATGCGGACTGAAATCTAACAAGCTTAACTATTCAAGTCAAGAACATAAAATCCCGCTTTGTCATGCCAGTTATTCATATTTGAATGCATTGGAACTGGAAAAAACATGTAGACTTAGGTAACATGACCAATAACGATATCATGCTGAAGTTCAAATATGGAAAGCAATTTCCACAGAAAACCCAACCAGTCAGTAAAAGGGATGTTGACTTCAGATTTATATGGTTATTTACTTCCTTGCAAGCAAATGCAGCCTTTTTAATCAGCTAACACTTTCAGTCTAGGTTTGGAATCAACAATGATAGTTAGGATGGGGACTGGCGCGTTCAAAAAAAAGAGAGAACAGAAAAACAACAAATAACAGGACATAATAGCACAAACACCAACAGCATTGGTACTTTTAAGCAAAAAAACATACAGTCTCAAAAACTGAGCCAAGACTAAGCTATCCAAGCACAAGCATGCCAAGCAACAAGTTCACTTTTTTCCGTACCTGTAAACTAGGATAATTTTCGTCCACGTCTCCTGTCCTCGAGACATCAAGTCCCCTAATCAACCAATCACTCAATTTTGAGTAACTTCTAATGTACAGTGGATAATTGAATATTTACAACTTAATAAAGTGGAAAAATAGCTGTTAAAATTTCAGGAAACAAATACAACTAATCCCTTACTTCCACTGAATTCTATTTTTGAGCTTCTTTTCTATGAGACCAATTCCTTCAAGAACATTTGTTATATCATAAATCCGCCTCTTTTGCACCTGCATATAAAGAACACTTATAATTTACAGATCCTTGACATAGAATACATTACAACAGATAGGAAATTAGTCACCTCTAAAGTATCAGCAGCATTATTGAGATCCAGAATACCATCTTCCGCATGTTTGATCAGATTGATAAACTTTTTTGTTAAGAGACCTGAATGGCAATAATAGGACATTGCCGTAATATTTGCACAACAAATGAAAAAATTAACTTGCTTTTCTGATGAAGAACCTAAATAACTAAATGATAAAATCAGTTAACAAAAAACATAGGAAATCGTTCTGTTACCTAGGGAGCTGTCAAAACGACAAGGTCCAGCTGGAGTAAGATTAGCCCCAGAAGGAGAACCTGTCAATTATACAGATTAGATGGGAGTAATCAAGCAAACACATCCTATAAATTCTCATAGCATCAGCTAATTCATTCTTTTCAGAACACAACTAATCCATTCTTCAAATCTCAATTAAACCTTACCTCGCATATATAATAGAACTACAAGTATGGGAGCACACTTGACAGATTTAAGTAACACTCACCCACATTGGAAGCCGGAGTCTGGGGTCCAGATCTGCTACATTTTGTCAGCCTTGATGTTTTGTTTGCCTTTCCCACCTTGCTTGACACAGGAGTCTGGAGGGGGCTGGTAACTACTTCAGTATATCCAGGAGCAGCTGTCCTATCACTAGACTCAGCTTCGTAATCTGCCGCATCACTCTTCCGTTTTAGCTGCTAATCCACCATTTAGTTTATTCAAAAAATTAGCATCAAATGAACAAACCATATCATATAAGTAATTATAAAATGAAAATAATTGATCAATTGAAAATACATAATGACTATGAAGAGAATGATTATTATAATTACGCATACAGGTACATTAGCCGGAAAGATGTTAGCACATCATACAAACCAATCTACGTTTCCAGCGGACTATGCTCTACAAAGAAAACTGGAAGCTTCCCAACTTATAAATGGAACGATTCATAAATCCATAATTCTACAAATACATGCTAATCTCTAGTGCATTCTAACATCTGCAAAGCCACATCAGAGAAATAAACATCATTGCTATTAAGGTAAAACCAAATGTTTTTCCTTTTCTTATTTCCTAAACCATCTTAGATAATTTACATTTTATAAGTTTCCTCTATAAATACCAGATTATTCAAAAGTGTGTACCAAAAACCTTGTATATGATACATGAAGATTCATAATACACAAGAGTCTAAACAGTACAACCCCCAGCATTTACATGCCAACTCCCAGACGGTAAGTCAGCCAAGAAGGCATCATGAACTCCTTTAGAATACATGATTATTAAATAGAATAAACACCGCATATCAAGCAACATTTCAAACTTTATTTTTGGAATAATTTAATATGTATTCACACTCAAATACAGTAAACATGGGGGGGTAATCATAAGAAGGAAAAGCGAAAGAATCTTGGGACAGCCAGCCAGTCTGCAACAAGGGTGCAACTGTATCAGTGTCCTCAAGAAGCATGCCCTAAGAAGAAGTGAGGCAGGCCCTTCACGTGAAGAAGTAACTTAAAACCCTTAATGGGGACCCGATGCCAAAAGACAAGAACTAGAATAGAAGAAAAGATTAAATAGGGACAGCACTGTTCCCATTCGAAATAGTCTATTATCTTCTGTTGTAAAAAGAACCACACTTTAAGGGATGTATATCTTTGTTGGCAATACATTAGATTTCTATGAATAATTATTGGGAAGAAAGGATACATCAAGAGGAGAAGAGAATATTAAAAGTTACTCTTCTTGTTCTTTTGTTTTTCAAAATAGTCTCAAGTCTGACTTTGCCTCAGACAAGGAAAGCTTCATCATGTAAGTGTGTAGATACTTATGCTGCTATTTCCAATCTTTTGCAGCCTCACTTAGATATAATTAGGCATGTCACAGACAAAAGATTACGAGAACATACTTGCAAAAGCTCTTTATGAAGCGCAAAATCGTGTATACTGCTATGATCGATCTGTGGTCAGCTAACCTCTAGCATCCCTCATTAGCAGGTTAAGACTGGTATTTACTACCAACCCTTAAAATTGGCACCATTGAGCACTTCAAACCATACAGGAATCCAGAGGCTGATTTGTACTAAATTATTCAGTCATCTACAGTGATTGTAACCTAGTTCAAGATAGTGTGGAGAGATTGGTCTAACAAATACCAAACCCAACAAATCCAGTGAGACACAGACAGCTTCTTTAATTTTTCTAACTTTTGGTTGTGTATTGAAAAATGCATTGGGTGTGCTTGGAATTGCTTTTGGCAGTGTCTGCTTTTAGTGTTTGACCGAAATAAAGAACAAATGATTTATGGGGTTATAGGAGTAGTGATTCCTAGAGAAATGCTCATTAGCTGTTTACTCAAGAAGTGCTTCCAAGTGAATATGTAAGGAGAAGCACTTGGGTTTCTTCTAACAAAAGAGCTACTGAGCAAAAGCACCTCCCACAGAAACACTCCAAAATTAGATTACGAATAGATGCTAGACAATCATTTCAACTTTCTCAAAAGGTAGTACTGCCACTAGAAGATCACGCCAGCAAGTATATGTAACATAGAACAGTAATAGCAACTCTATAAATCATACATATTTCATCGTGGATTCAGAAACTTTAATGATACTGGCCCAATGAAACAGCCAACTTGGGAAACAAAAACCTACCTCAATTAGTTTCTATACATTCAACTCACCAAAATACTACTCGTAACGCAAGCAGAGTACAAAACATGCCAGAGTGTAAATCGATGCACTTGCCATGCAAACACAAGTCCACTAGTGAATGTAAGGGGTCCAGGCATAATAGGATTTTAATTTCTAGATTGTAATAAAATACTATAGGTGCAAATGTAAACAGCACTGTTGACGAATCATTATTTGCACCTAATTACCAAAAACCTAATGTGCCTTTTCATTCTTTTCCTCTTTTACCAATAAGATCTGCCCTTGTTGATTGGGGGTGAAGACTACCATAGTTCAGATCTTATTCTTCCCCAACTGTAATCACACCAATAGAATTTCCATACCACATACTTCCTCGATCATGTCAAAACTGATATTAGGAACAACTGTAATACACACTAATACAATCTTCAATTTCACCTAAAATCACAATTATTAACATAAAAACCAAACAATTTCCACGAATCCTAACCTTTAGTACTAATTCCAATAACTAATTTCAGTAAACTAAAACCCAAATGAGTAATTACACTCACTAATCAAGCAGATCTCCAACAAAATAGTCCAAAAAAAATAAACACATAAATACATAAACACATAACAGTAAAAAGAAAAACCAAGATTAATGAGACAAAAACTCACAGAGGGCTTAACGTATATGCCATATGCTTCTGAATCAGTGAGTTGGCGAGGGTCGGGAACGAAGCCGTGGTAGTCTGCTGTAGCTGAAAACGGTGGTTTCATGGAGGAGAAGGCGAGCTGCCGCTTGAGGGCCTGCTGCATGATCGGCTGGGGCGGTTGAGCCGGCGGGTCATGAGCCCGAGAGCCCGACATCCAGCGACCCGAACCGGATTGTGGGTTGGGCGGGTTTTTTTTTGGTGGGTTTGGTGGAGGGAAGGAGAACGAAAGAGATCGAGAGAAATTGGGAGGGAATTGAAAAAAAAAACGAAAAGAAAAAGTGGGGGAAGAAAATGGAGGGAAAGTTTGGAGGCGAAGGTGGGGGGAGTGGGTGAGAATGTGAGATCTGGTGTTTGGGAAAAATAAAAAAGCGGGAGAGAGAGAGAGAGAGAGAGAGAGAGAGAGAGAGAGAGAGAGAGCAGAAAACGAGGGAAAGGAAAGAAGGAGGGAATTTGGTTCGGATATAGATATGGAGGGAAGCACTTACCCTCGTTTTTCTTTTTTCTTTTTATTATTTGCTTATCAAAGAATAGTTGATTTATTATCGGTGTTTTACCCATTTTATATATTTATTTTTTTTGTGTTATACAAATATCAGGAAATGTCTAACCAATATTGTGACTGCAAAGTCCAATGTTTTTAACCAAGCAATCTCTCAAATTTTTTATATAAAAAAATTATCTTAATTTTAAAAAGGAAAAAGAAAAACAAACAATTCAATGGTGTGAAGAAATTTTGGTGTTTGGGCCCAAGTTGAAGTACATGGGCTTGAATTTGAGTCTAATTTATTAAACTTCAGCAAAATAAAAATAAAAATAAAGGGATACTGTCTTGAATAATATAAAGGGCATTTTTATCTGAATAATTTTTGTATGTTTTGAGTACCATCCAATGTACACATGGGACATTTAAAAATATTTTCCAATACACATAGTCCATAATAAAATATTTCCACATGTCATATGTATATTGAATGGTTACAAAAATTTCTCCATCTCAAGACCTATAATAGTTTTGCATATAATTGTTAACATGTCACCCATATGAATATGAGATTGGTTGACATTGCCCTTGTGTGAGCGCACGGCTGTGGTTTTTTTTTATTTTTTCACCAATCCATGTACGTATCCTAATATTATCGATATTGATACTGTCCAAATGTTGCTGAAGAGAGAGTGAAATTCTTGGCGCCAAAATTTTCCCGATATTATTCTTGGAATTATCGATAATTAGATGGATAGATTCCAAAATACCATCCTCCTAAAAAAGCGATAATATTAGTCATTTTCGTTGATATTATAGATATTTTAGACCTTGATAAGAACCAATTTCCCAGCCCGGGAAAGTTGTCAGGCCAGCGAATGATATGTTTTTTAATACCTAAATACCTTCCAATTGTACTTTTGGTGAATGCCCAAAACAGAAGAAATAGCTTCTTTTGTAGGTCCAATAATTGACGGATGCGTAAAAGATATGTAAATGCGACTTGGTAATGATTTGTAAACCTGATGTGATGTTGCTACTGTCGTGGTGAACATGAGAAACTTTCATATCATGAAAATTCAAATGTAAATAATTTTGAAGCATCTTCTACAGATTGTATGGTTGGGGTCTTATTTTTATCATAACTCTAATTTAATTTCTCCAAACTCTAATTTTCATCAATCGGAGGTTTGAGATGCTTCATTCAAATAAAAATTTGTGGTATCTTACAACTCATGATATGTACTCAAATTCCAATCCAGTAATACTAAACAATGTTTTAGGTCAAAGGAAATCTTTTTTTCCCCCCAAATATTTCTTTTAAGTACATCACCTTCACTATCTATTCTACTTGAATAAATGGCCTAGATCAGGATCAGCCAAGTCCACATCCAACCATCCATTCAGATGCATGTACTCAATATAATGATCTGGGGGCTTCACAGCACGAGGTTTAGCTGGTGTAAAGCCATGAATCCTCTCAAGATCTCGAGCAAGCCACCTAACATATGTACGGTCCAACGGAGGAACAACTTTCAAGAAAATTTCTTCGCTTTCTTGCTTCACAGGTTTGTTTCCCATGTTTGGAGAACCTGGCCAGCTTCAGAAAATGCAGTCAGTTAGTTGATGGCACATAAATTTAATCAGTGAAAAAACAACGGCACAACCTTTATTTCCCCTTCTGACTATCTAAACAAAAAAGTCATGTTAAAGTTCGTAAAAAAGGAAGACAATCATGTAAGAGTTTTGCAGGCTGCATCGAGCCACAGTTTTCTAATATAGCAATATGTGAATGGAGCAAACACGTGGGTGGATTAGTAATTCGCTTATAATTTTCTGTGTCTAGGCTTTTAAGATTACACTGCGAATAACTGAAAAGTCCTGAGGATTTGGAAAAATCACAAGTACCACACAAAATAAAAATAAATAAATGAAGATTTTAAAAAAAAAAAAAAAAAAAAAAAAAAAAAAAAAAAAAAAACAGACACACATCTTAAACCATATGATCTCAGCAGCCTTCTTAAACACTGTTTCTTAAAATTTTTGACTAATTACAACCATAATCTTAACAGTAAGTGTAATAACAGTATAAGTTATATGCTGCTTCAAAAGATTGCTAATGATAAGTCTGAAACAAGGCACCAATCTTTATGCACATGCGGCTAAATCTAAGAAAGCAACTTATACATTTATAAATCCCTAAGGTTGCTGGCCCATCATACGAACAGACCATAATTATATGACTACCATGCTCATAGAACATTGCTGTTTAATTTCTACTTCCTCTGCATGAAAAATAGAAAGACTGTTCATCTTTTCATCTGAGAAACAGAGAAAAGCTCTTCCTCATATCCAGGGACTGAAAACATTACCATGTCACTGTCAGCAGAACAGCGTACAACAAGTTAGATACTCATTCAAATTTCTTAGAGGCAATTGACCAAAACATACTTTCAATGTTAGTTCTAGGGGATGATTAGTCAGAAGCCAAGTAAAACTGAGTGGTTCTCTTTCTGTAGAAACGGTAGAAAAAGATAGGAAAATACTAAAATTGCCTTGGAAATGAAAACTGTTAAGGTAATTGCAACTATCATGGAGGGCACTTGCTCCTCTCAGTAGAGTGTGTAATTCACTGATAAAGTACTCATATATGACGCTCCTCTAACTCTGACAGAAGACTTCTCATTAATTTAGTTTGTCTATCCATGTATAACAGTGCACATTATCAAGGTCCTTTAAATACATACTAGCATTTAGCTCCTTATCCTACATAGTGTAGCTATTACTCCAACAGTCATCAGAAGCTAAGTCGGCAAATATATGTGGACACTCACAAATTGCATGATCATTTCATTCTAGGTAGTCTACTGTGTCCCACACCTTATTCACATTGGAAAATCATTTAAAAAGTGGAAAAAGCAAAATCAACAATCCAAGCAATGCTAATGTCCTTTTGAGGCAAAATCAATAATCTAAGCAATACTTGTCCGGAACTTCCATTGCGAAGGAAAAGCGAAAAAAATGTTCTCATTTCGAAAATCATCTTGTAGGATTCATATTTGGCTTAATGAAAATACAATTTTAAATGAAACAATTGTATTACATAAAAAATATATCTTATCATCAGTACTAGTTTCAAAACCGGTACATGAGCACCCTCCCCCTTAGAAGTGACATGTATATTATAAGAACATGCTATAAATCTGAGTGAAAGATCACATACTAAAATCTGATAATGGAAATAATTCTAATAAAATAAACACTGAATCTATCAAAACTGATCCACTCACTAAGATGAGCAAGGCTACGCCCACCTGAAGTCCTCCCACAGCTAATTACGAAAAGGTGGAGAGATGCTATGGCTCCATCTCCTAAATGAAACAACAATCTAATAACCAATCACAGAAGAAATTAATGCAAAATAGACGTAACCCAGATATGGGCAATCAAAATGGAAAATTTCTATGGCATTCTGTTCCAATTCAAACAAACCATTTGCAAAAGATCACCAAACTCAAACTGAAATAAGCAATGAGGAAGTCAAGCACCCAAAAACGAAATGAACCAAACTCAAACTGAATTTGGACTTGAAAACAAAGAGAACAATAAGTACGGAACCGTAAGCCAAGAATAATTTCAGTCCACTTACCAGACAAGAGCTTTCGCAAAACAAGGAGAATATGCAAATTCGGAAGAACAAGAGAGACCGCAATTCTCTGTTTATCTTCGATTTTATATATAAATTTTTTGTTTCTTGAAAATGGAAGTTCTCGTAGCATCTGAGTCGGGTTCAAAAGACAACTAAAACTCTCTTCTTTCTTATTGTTTGGGCTTCTTTTCCTTTGTAATTTGAGGCCCGAAGCCCAAACAGAAACTATCTTCCATCCCTTTTCTTTTTTGGACCACAAGAAATTAATTCGACCAAAAAAGTTAGTGAGCTGTTTTTCAGTACAAACGATAATCTAAACTACAAAGATAAGTTTTTTTGATACATACATAGACCTTCGGTCTGTAAATTAAGACCCTTTTTCTCTAGGTTAGACTCCTCATTGGCAAAAGGTTATTGAACTTTTGTAGAGGAAAATGGATGTAGGACCAGGATCTAATCTTCCTAGTTTATTAATAGACGAGTTGATGCTAAATTCAACAGAGTTTAAGGGGGCGATGCCGATAGAACACTAAGATTAAAAATCTAAAGTGTAATTGGAATTTATGCTCCAATCAATCATGTTATGGCAGCAGCAGTGGGTGTTCTAACAATTTATTGGCTCATATAATAATTTTGGATTCTCTCATTGTTTTGGCAATCCTTGGTTGCTCATTGAAGTCATTCATTAGAAATTCGATGTTTAGGCTTGCAACTTTTAGTGGGTAAAATCATTTACCTCTGAAATCCATGTTTTAGTTATAGAGCACTTATCCCGCACCTCAAGCAAGCTCAAGTCAATGTTCGGACGATCGCCTCCCTTTTCCCTTTTTTGTATGAAAAGCAATGGTATTTTTTAAATCGGGTGAAGCACAATTTACAGGTTAATTGAGATTGTCAGCTTATATGAAGGGAAAAGGGATTTAATGCATTTAACAACCACTACAGGTTAGGTTACTGCTCTTATCTTAACCACTAGATCTACAAGCCCCTTGCCACTACAAGTTACTTTTCAAAATGGTTGTAACAAACACATTTTGGCTTCTCTCACTGGCTTGCATTGAGCTATTGGCAGCCAATCGTGGACTGCGCAAAAATATTTATGAAGGCAAGCAGTCCTATTTTCACTTCTCATTGAGAACGAAGGTCCCATGGCATTGTAAATTAACTCGTTTTGGCGAGTTTAATGACCACGGCTGGTATTCCTTATGAAATCCCAACTCAGAAATTTGTACCTATAAAGAAAAAAAAACCATGAGAAATTCACATTAATGGGTGGGAACTTTAAAATGTTGCTTGAAAAATCTGAATGTTCCATTCATAAGTCAAGCAAATCAGAGGGCTCAGTGCCCATGTGGATCAGATGAAGGTGGAACTGGATACTAGAGGCTCTGTTAATTATTCAAATTTGCATCAACTAATACCAGAACATGGGTTTCTGCAATATGAAATCAACAAAGGCATGATTACATTATACCTGGCATACCTCATATGCTGAGTTCTAGATGAAAAATATTTACTGAATTTCAACACATACCGTGGGACAAAACAACGCATCAGAAGAAGCAAAGATTAAAACTATGTGATCGCAAGATAAGGACATGCGGTTGGGTGTGGGCGGCAGCAACATACCATCTAGTTTGCTGCTTGAAATTAAGCAGTTAATATTCAATACAGCAAGCAATTGAGTATGGTCAAAGACAGATCACTTGAAACACAAAGAAGAGTGACCTAAAGAAACGATTTTTTTTAAGAAGAAAAATAAAAACCGAAACTAGGGAAGCTAAGAAACAAGGGTTTGAAATGAAACAATGGTCTGGAAAAGGAAAAAAAAGAAAAAAGAAAAGAAGAGAAGGGGAAAGAACAAATTAAGCAATGTGAATCCTGCATCAAAACTAAATTGAAAAATAAAATGAGTTTTTCTATCTTTACTTTTTGTTTGAAACACTAAGGTTGCCTTTGGATATATGGATTTGCAATGGGAGATTTGGATTTGATTACCTAGTTTAATTGCTTGCATCAAATGTTAAAAAAACAGGAAATTTATATATTTAAGTGATTCAGGGAGAAAAATTGAATATTTTTCTCTCAAGTTTTGAAATCCATCCTATCTCAAATAGTCAAATTTAAGTAGTCTCGTTATCTATCATTTTAAATCCACACATCTAAATACAACCCAAGTTCAATACATCTTTGGATTTTGATTTCTGCTTTTAAAAATAACCCTACAGCCAACATCTTGTCATGTTAGTGCCAATATGCTATAGTTTTGTATGAATCATATAATGCTACAACTAATAATAGTAACATTCAACAACGTATGCAGATTTCTAAAGACATCTAATGATGTTTAACTAGTACGCATCAAAACATCTTATGTCCAAATGCTTATTCCCACTCTTTTGGTTAATTAGTACACATTTTTTTTCCATAGAAATATTATGTCCAAAACGCTAATGTATAACCATTTGTTTAACCTTGTTAAAATACGAGACTAACAAAGACTGAAAATGTGCAAAGAGAACAAAATGTATTTCCAGTTGAAGTGATAAGAAAGCTTGCAAATTTTCAAATTTAAGTACCTTACATGGGCCATCAAATAAATGCTGAACATGTGGACCACTGTCATCGCTGATAAAGAAACTCGTCTGTAATATTAGATATCATGATTCATGAGTAATAGTTCAAGAGGAACATGGAAAAAAAGAACATAACTTTCAGGAGGATAAAAAGGATTGTTTACCAAATGAGCCATCACTTTGTCAGCTTACAGCAGACTCTTATAAAATTATGAACCTATTCATTACGTCCGTTGTGTCTTCAAGGTGAAGGCTAGAGAATCACATTCTGCAAAACAGAGGTGTAAATGAACCATCAATTTTTCTGGTCTCATTATTTTCTCAAGGTGCAGTTCTATAAATAGAAACTCACTATTAGTGGATGAATACATAAATGAGTGTAAATAAATGTGTCACAGAGTAATAGATCTACTCGAAACAAGTGGTTTTCCTCAAACAACTAGTGATAACAGTAGCCACAAGGAACAGAGAATAAATGCATAGATAGTAAGAGAATATATTCCATACCAGAGATCACATGTAATCTCCATAGGAGCAAAATCCACCTTTCAAATGATGAAACCGGTATCTATCCTGCACTATAAGCTCCCTTGAGGTATCAAGGGAAATCAACTTCATTACCAAGTGACAATCATGGGAAGCTTGAAGGTTTCACATTATGCAGATAGGCATCAAGCAGGCACTCTAAGCAGCTCAACAGCAACATCAAGCTTTTCTCTGTGATAACACTGAGAAAGAAATGAGCTAATTGGATTGACATAACAACCGGTATCTTCTATTTCTTAATAATCTCATCAAGTATTCTATAAATGTCCTTCATTTGTGGATGATGGGTGTCATCTACAGTGAACACATGTACCCTATTATTAACCTCTATCCAGCTACAACCAGGTTTTTTCTCAATTCCTTTCTTTCTCATCTCTTTTCTCACATCCGCAAAAGCTTCTAATTGTCCACAATCAGAATATGTATTAGCCAGAAGGACATAACTCCCAGAATCATCTATATCTAATTCAAGCAAATTTCTCACTGCAACTTCTGCTAACTTTAAATTGCGACGAACCCGACATGCGCCAAGCAGAGCCCCCCATATAGCAGCATTTGGCTTAAAGGGCATTGTATCAATCAAATTCTTGGCCTCCTCTAATAACCCTGCCCGGCCAAGTAGATCTACCATACAAGCAAAATGCTCACATGTTGGATTGATGCCAAAATCTTCAGTCATGGAACTGAAGTAGTGTTTCCCCTCTATTATGAGCCCTGAATGACTACATCCTGATAGAACAGATACATAACTTATATGATCAGGTGTGCAGTCCATTTTCAACATATTCTCAAAAATCTCAATCACTTTCCTACCTTCACCATTTTGGGCATATCCTGCCATAATCGCATTCCAAGAAATCAAATTTTTGTCACATATTGAGTCAAACACTCTTTTTGCTACTTCAATTCGCCCACATCGTGAATACAAAGTAACAACACTATTTGTGACAGAAACATTAGAACCAAGCCCTATTTTTTCAGCTTGAGCTATAATTTGGATCCCAAGTTTTAATATTGCTAAATCAGCACATGCACTGATTGAAGTTACTAAGGTGACCCAATCAGGGTTAATCTCTACCCTTCGCATTAGAATATACAATTTTAGGCCTTCTTCCCAAAAACCATTTTGAAAATATGTTGCTAACATTGAATTCCAAGTTATGACATTCCGCTGTGGCATTTTATCAAAATACTCTCGAGCTTTTTCAACATTACCAACTTGAGAAAATGCCGTGATCATTGCTGTCCATGATATTATATCTTTGAATGGCATCAACTCAAATGTCTGATTTGCTTTATGAGTATTTTGACACTTTGCATACATCGTAACAAGAGCATTCCCTACAGGAATAGAAGAGATCATTCCAGCCTTGATTGTATATCCATGGAGCTGTTCCCCAACTAAAACATGCTTTTGGCTTGAACAAACCCCAAGAACTGTTGCGAGAGTAAACTCATCCAAGGAAACAGGAGCCTTTCTCATTTGGTTAAACAGTACTAAAGCTTCGTCCTCAAGTCCAGACTGCACAACTCCACTGATCAAAGAAGTCCAAGAAACTGCATTGTGTTCTGTCATGTTGTTAAACACCTGCCGTGCAAAATGCAAGTGTCCACATTTCACATACATATCAATCAGTCCACTACCTGCGAAGACATCAAGACTTGGTTCCATACGGATGATCCGAGCATGCAAATGGGTACCCCATTCCAGATCATATATGCTTGCACATGCACTAAGTACGGTGGCATATATCATAGAATTTGGTCTAAAACCTTGGTTCCACATCTCAACAAACATACTGAGACTCTGAATCCCAAACCCATGCTGAGAAAAGATTGAAATTATGGTGTTCCAAGACACACAGTCACGTTCAGGCATTTGAAAAAACATATGAAGAGCCCTTTGAACCCCATAAAGTTTAGAGTAACCAAAGATCATACTGTTCCAACAAAACAAACTAGGACTTGGGATCCTCAAAAACATTTTCTCAGCACAACTCAATGCACCACACTTAATGTACATATCGATAATCGAATTTTGAATAGTCATGTTGTTTCCAAATTCTAACTTCTCCACAAGACTATGCAACTGAAGAGCCAATTTGATGTTGCCAAGACTACCACAAGCCTTCATTACGCAAGAGAAGGAAAATGGGTCGGAAAAACTCTCACAATTCTGAACCATTGCAGCAAAAACTTTAATTGCATCCACTGGTTGCCCTTTATTAAAATGGCCAGACATCATTGTAGTCCAAGAGACAGAGTCTCTCTCAGGCATTCATTGAACAAGATCTTTGCTTCCCTCATCCGACCCAAATCTACTAATCCATTGATCATAGTATTCCAACTAAACACATTAGGATGCTGAATACTGTAAAAAATCCGATGAGCGTCTTCTATCAAGCCACATTGGGAGTACATGTGCAAGAGATGGTTCTGGAGGAAAATAGCAGAGTCCAATCCTATGGAAATGAGTTGGGCATGGAGTTTTCTTGCAATGGGTATTGACTTGAGAGATGCACAAGCTTTCATGGCTTCGTAGAATGTCTGTGACAATTCCATGTAAGATTGTTGTAGGGAGGGGTCATGGCAGAGAATGAGCTTTGTTGAGAGATTTTCTTGCGTTGATGATATATAACGAGTGTTTAGGCGAGAGAGATGAAGGATATACTTCAGGGGTTGAATTGGCAGCATCCCCATCACTGGAGATATTAGGCTTCTCCGCTTCAGAGACTTCTGTGAGTTTGCCTAACTTGATGTTAAACACATAATAAAAAGAAGAATGCAGTACAGGAGTACAAACATAAAATAGCATCACTTTTGTACCAATAATTACCCCTGACTATAGCCCTTTGCCTAACTCAAATCCTAACGCTTTGCCAATATAATAAATATTTTGACCTCTGTCTACAACCATGGCACCCACATTTGATAAAGAACCAAAATGAGAAAACCAACCCAGATTATAGCAGCTAGAAACTAAAACTAAAGAAACCAAAAAATATGCATATATACATATTAAAAATGAGAGTCAAAACTCTTACATTGTAAATCCAAGATCCATGGTGATTGCTAGTTTAGTCGGAGAAGAGTGACCAGACTACAGGAGACAAAAATGCAACTCATAAGCAGATATGATTAGAAAAAAGCTGAAACAAACTAGGTAGTTTGGTTCATGATATGAAATTTCCTATTCAAAAACAAGGATAAATCTGTTACCCAACAAAACAAAAAAACAAAAAAAACCAGGATACAATCTAAAAATCTGGGCTGTATTCTTAGTTACTGCAAAATCTGAGAAATGTTTGGTACTGTATCTGAAATTGTTTTTGAAGTCTAAAAGACTATGAAAGCGTATTTGGTTTACTTTGGATCTCATTTAGACGTTTCATCAAACACCATATATGCAACACTTTGGCCCGAACATTTCCCTCAACCTCTGACCAACTACTAAACAAATGAATGTGAAAGAAAGACAGAAGGAAATAGTGTAAGAGATGGTGTAAATTCTAAAGAATGAAAAGGTACATGTAGGGTGGGTATTGGGTCTCACAGTATCACGTCGGCGCTGGTTACACTCGGATCAACACATGTATAAGACTTGCCGTTTCTCAAATGGAAAAACTGTACGAAAATCAGATACCAAACGAAGCCTGAAGCTTTCTGATTTCTTGAGCTCTGGCCTCTGCAAATAAGAACAGGCGAAAGCAAATGCTGTTGTTAAAATACCCCATAGAGAACAGAGAAAATGAGAGAGAAAGCGACTGGGGACTTGCATTGGTTTATTCCTGTGTGCATTGCTGCGCTGGGGGGTTACTTACTTGGCGAGAGAGGAGGAGAAGGATGGGGCCGTGCATGGAAAGAGAGGGAAGAAGACACAATGAAAGAAGAGAGGAAGGAAAGAGAAAACAAGGAAGACTGAGAGATAGGAAAGACACTCATAGTTTTCTCCTGCAAAAATTGAAAGCGGGAGAAAGTTTCGAGTAGAGGTAAAGAAGCAGGGCAAAGGTTGATCGGAAGTTACTTTGTTACCACGGTTAAAAATTACGTGCTAGTCGTGTATAAGATAAGAAGATTAGAACTGTATTGGTTTTAAATAAAAAAGGCTTTTTACTTTTTTTTAATTTTATACAAGTGAATTTTTTTTATTTTACGTATTTGGGAGAGGGGAATTTACATAAATATTTATTGAGTGCCTAGAGCTTTCAAATTTCTACCCAAGGCAGGCAAATCAAGTAGCGGACCATTTGGCCTCGTTGACACTATCGAGGATGAGCCTTGGAGATCTAGATATCCAAACCTCCATCCTCACTTTTGCATGTTTTGAGCAGGGATGGCCTTCCATGCCCACCCGTTGGTCATGAATGAAGAACACTAAGAGCATTTCCAGTGGGAGGGGTTAGCTTGGACAAGAGGCCCCCTAGGCCCCCAATCATGTTTCCAGCGGCTAAGGCTTACCAGGACAAGCGCTAGGTTCCACCAGCCTGGGCAAGGCCCAAGGCAAGACTTGCTCCGGCTGCTGCTTGGGCAAGATGACTTAACGTTGACGTCATTGTGACGTAAGCAACTAATTTAAATAACAAAAAAATTGAAAAAAATAACAAAAATTTCAGAAAACCAGCAAAAAAAAATGCTATGGCATGCATTATTCATGTGAATAGTAACAACAATTGCCTACCTTTTGCCATGACAAATGGGTGGAAATGCTCTAAGAGAGTTTTGACATTTGTCACTGTCAAGATTGTCTTTGAGCTAGGTTGCCCTAGTTCCATTATCTGTAGTGTATTCAATTTAGATTTTAAAAGATTTTAAAGAAGTTTGAAAGTACAGGTGTATCCAATCACGATCTTATAGAAATCTATACAATTCTGGGTATATTCAATTTAGGCTTTTTAAATTCCATTCAAATTTAGATGAATTCAATCACGACTTTAAAAGACTTCATAAAAGTTTGGGTGCATTCAAAACTCCCCACGCACCACCATCACCACTCACTACCGCCCCTACTACTAGCCCCACCATAATCCCTATCATCCTTATGATCACCGCCACCACCACTAGCATCATCACCATCACTGCCATTGTCACCACCACCACATCCACCACCACCCTTAGCCCCACCACCACTACCACTACCACCCCCACTATCACCCCCACCATCATCCCCACTGTCACCACCACCACAACCACTGTCAGCATCATCACCATCACCATCACCACCACCGCCACTACCTCACTCCCACTGCCATCACCACTACCACCCCCATCTCCTCCACCACAACCTCCCCCACCATCACTGCCACCGCCATCACCACCACCATCATCACCCCTAAACCCTTTGTTTTTTGATTGCTATAAACTCCATTAAAATCAATAATAAAACTTTAACAAATTCATTTAAAATTTATACATGAATTTAGTCAAAATCTATGTGGAGTTTGTAGAATTCAGTTAAACTCAATTAAACTCAGTTAAACTCTATCAACTTTATAACTCTTTTAAAATTATTTGAAATCTAAATATTGAATACACCTTTGGGCTGTGTTTTGAAGTGGTCTATTTCTGTTTTTGTTCTATCGGGCTTTCTTTGGGAGACAGGCTGCTTTGCTCCCACACCCTTATTGTAATGTCTCTTGGTGGTTGTTTTTCTACGAAATATCAGCCTTTTCAACCAAAAGAAAAAATACCATTATTTTTTATCATATCAGAAGAAAAATTAGAAATGGCTGAAATTGATTGCTGCAAAATTCACTCCTACAATCAGATAAGAAAATCCCAAACTGAGTTTTACATATAATTGAAAGGAGAGTAAGAAAGCAGACCTTCATGATTTCTCTTTCTACTTGTCAGTTACTTGCATCGCACTCTAAATGCATTGCTTGTCTGTGATGCTTCTAGTACTTTAAAATATGGAGAAACTTTTTTTATTACAAACATAACATTGCAATGCCATGGACTGATCTTCCATGCAATTAATTAATTTTATGCATCACATATATCACTTTCCCATGCTAAAGAAACCAAATGCTAAAATACTGCAGTTTTCACTTTACAATCTTGCTACACGAGCAAGCGAACGGATTCACCTTGGCGCCATTATGGACATAGTGAGACCATTTGCAGAAGGATCAGTTATAGACTCATTAACTGGAAGAACTCTACGTACAGCAAATATTGCTGGCTGCTTTGGTTCGGGAAGATCAACTGATTCACTTCCAAGCAATACAACCACAGCTGACATGGTTGGTCTTTCTGCAGGGTCTTCCTGGACGCACAACAGCGCAATATGCATGCATCTCAAAACCTCTGTTTTTGTGCAAGATTCCATCAACAAAGGTTCCACAAATTCCAATTCTTTTCCTGCCTTCCATAGTCGCCATGCCTGTCGATTGTTTAAGCAGAATTATGTCTTATGAAATTAATGTCTGTTTTCCAGATAAACTAATTAGTTAAGTAAGACTAGTAATCAAAGTAGACAATGAAAAGTACGTATGCAATGAGTGTCTTGGCATGTTCCGTAAGGTAGAATCCACTATTCCTTTTCCCACTAATGATCTCAAGCAAGATTACACCGAAGCTGAAAACATCAGATTTTACAGAAAATAGACCCTCCATTGCATACTCTGGAGCCATGTATCCACTGTTTCATGTATGAGCATTATTAGCAATGTTCACTTCTCATGTAGAATCAAAACTTGTGGCCTGAAGTGATATATAGGATTCTAAATTAAATAAATGTAAACAAGCATACTCACTATGTTCCCACAACTCTTCTAGTTTTAGTGGGGTTCTGACGTTCACAAAATATCCTTGCCAAGCCAAAGTCTGATATTTTGGCAACCATTTCATGGTCCAACAATACATTGCTGGGCTTTAAATCCCTATGAATGACTCTAAGCCGGGAGTCTTCATGAAGATACAGAAGTCCTCTGGCAATACCTTCAATAATGTTGTAGTATGTTTTCCAATTGAGTTCAGCTCGTCTTTCCGAATCTGAAATTCAGCAGTAAATAAAGGTTTAGCGTTTAGATTTAAGGGTAAAGAAGCATATTTAAATGTGATTGTGCGAAATGATTGATATAAGGGCAAGAAACATTGGGCAGAAGGGTGGACAAAACATACCGAAGATAAAAGTATCAAGGCTTTTATTTGGCATGAACTCATACAAAAGCAGCTTTTCCTCTCCTTCAAAGCCGCATGCCAAGAGCCGCACAAGGTTTCTGTGTTGAAGTTTTGCAATGAGTATGACCTCATTTTTAAACTCCTCCAAGCCTTGCCATGATTTTCTTGACAGTCTTTTAACAGCTACTTCCTTCCCATTTTGTAGCAAACCCTGTGAAATAATATTTTTTAAAATCAGATGAGATGCATGTTTCGGGACTTTGGTCCGAGGAATCTATTAGTACTGTACCCCAAGATGGTGCATTACCTTGTAAACAGTGCCAAACCCACCTTGTCCAAGCTTGTTTGAATCTGAAAAGTCATCTGTAGCTACCCTAATAGCAGCTAGATCCATGAAGGCCAGCTCTCAGAACTTGTCAATTGTCTATCTTCTGTGATCGTGACACTAGTCGGGCTTGCCAAATCATGTAATAGTACATGCTGGCTGTTTTCTTCATCCGCACACAATAAATTTCAGTTGGTAATCTTACATAAATTAATTCACAATCATTAGCATCAGCCATGTTTCCATCTAATGTACCTTTTAATTCTTCTAATCCCTTTTTCCGCTGGCGATGGGCATTAATTACAACAGACAATGAGAAATGCTAATAGAAAAGTTGATGCACATATAACCACCACCTTCAACGTCTTCCGTTTATCTCCTGCTTTTTAATGGAAAGAGTTGCTTACCATGGCTCTTAGAAGTATAAACACACAGATATATGAACAAAATAAATAAATAAATAAAGGAAACAAAATTTTGATGTGCTAACCTTCGAAATATGGGTAAATTATCAGAGAGCTTGACATGTCGTCAAAAAATCGGAACATCTCAAACCTCACATTGCAATTCCTACCCACAACGGCACCACCTTGGCTAGAAGAGCAGCAAGCCCAAAGATCCCCTAAAGCAGAAACCAAACATGTTTTGCAGTTACTTTCAGAGATGTCTCTCGTGCACTGTTGCAGACCATAAATATTTTTTTTCCCTAAAAATTTTACTTCCCCAGTTGCAAACATATGCTTAGAAGGATTAAAGGCAGCCTCATCGGACAAGTTTTTCATCAAATAAATCAAAACATGACTAAAGCTATCCGGATTTGACACTCTCTTCTCCTGACTATCCTGCTTCGGATAATTTCCAACGTAAACCATCAATGAAAAGAACATCTGGAAGGAATAGCGGACTTGACATGCTTCGTACCATATCATTGCATCATTCGTATTACAACTCTTGAAAAGCTCCTGGCTCGCCTCATAGACGCAATTTCGACAAACTGTAGAGTTCACATCCCCTCTACAAAGTGCTTGTCCAAAGACTCTGTCAGTGTTATTTCCAATAGTGGTGTTGTAGAAACCGCCAGAGATTGAAGTGTTTGAAGACAATGACTCAAATAGCTGCTTCAGATTATTCTCAAATTGGCTCTTAGGAGTGTAGTTTCTGGCAGTAGGTGAACAAAAAATGGTAGGATCTACACCAGAGAGGTTGGCAGGGATTGCTAGTTGTATAATCATGAAAAGCAAAACACAAAGTGCACTTTTGTCCATTTTCCAAAGATGGAGCACAGTTGTTGATTAATCAAAGCCTTTGGCACCTTGGATGCATACAATTCTTTATACCCATATTACTGTTCATATGATTACTGTACATTACTGTTCTACGGTATGTACATTCTCAAAATACTTGATGAAAGAGTCATTATTTCAGAGTTGATTTCTAGCTACAGGGACTGGCTAAACAAGCTATTGGTTGGTTTATAAGAGACTGACTTCAAACTTCTGAACATTCTAATTGAAGAGACAAGACCTGAAATTACTAGCAAAGGGTATGAACTTAGCATAGAATGCGGCACGAAATTACACCATTTTTATTAAATAATCTCCGAGATATTTGGCTGATTACATCAGAAGCACAACAAGGTGCTTACATAAGAAACAATTATTTTTCTTTAAATACTAGTTATGTCTATTAAGTCGATCGGATTTGAATCTGGATGTTTGAATTAAAAAGCTTAATGATTATATGCTCGGTGTATAAGTCAAAGGCCTTTGATCAAAGTCAAACAAATGTTTCATGGAAGACGTCAACTTCTGGTTTCCTTAATTTGAATTTATATCAAATCATGTAATAATTACTAATCTTATATAGATATAAGTGGATTCAGTCCAAAGCTGATATCACAGCTTTTGTTTTTATGTTAAGATAACTACTACTCCTAGATTTGGTTTGATTCCGTTACACCCAGTTGGGCAATGCTACAGGCTGGTACAGAGGTTGACTGAGAAATGCATTATGAAAATTTCAATACAAGAAGCATCATCATGGTCATCAAATATAATTCAGTCATATTCGGGTCAAATTGACCAGTACAAGAAGACAAAAATTGATTCTAATTATTAAACCATTTGGTCTTAGAAACGTGTATCAGCTACCATTATTTGGCTTATTTTGCCTGCAGCCTAAAGCACGTGTTTATGCACCGACAAACATCTAAACCCGAGAAGATAAATGGAAATCCATTAACAACTGGAATCCACTAGAAAATAGAGAAAAATAATTTGCTGTGTGAGAGAGTAGTGTGGAAATAGCCTCATATCCTTTCCATAGGAGTATTCATATGGTTTTTTTTTTCATCAACATCAACTAGAAGGAGTAGTTAATTGATAGGAAATAGCAGTTTTTATAATTAATAAAGAGAATGGTGAAGTTATATTGTCTTTATAATCAACTACTGGTCATTTAATAGAAGGCAACCTCTAGAAAAAGTCTGATGTGCTTCCAAAGTTTTAATTCACCTTATAAACTTGGCAGCTGATGTTTGGCAAACCTTGCTAATCAGTCGCTCAATGTTTCTTTGCTTGACCTTGTTGCTTAGAGTTCTTTTGGAAGTTTAGTATGATAGTTTTCCTTCTACTGTCAACAAATTTACAATCCTCTGAACCTTCTAATAATAATAATAAAAAGGATTATTTCTTTTTCGCATCATAGATTTCTGTACTCTATTTTTGACATTCTCTTTTACTTTGTTGCTGTGAAATTAATAATTGGGTCAGGACAAGAGAGATTGTTTAATCTTCTTCTTTGTTTAGAGGAACGGATCATGGAAGTAGCCCAATCTGAGTGAACCTTTCTTATCAAACAATACAGGGGAAGATAGATTCGAATTCGGTGTTGGGGTGAATGTTCTTAACCCATAGAGCTACAAGTTCCCCACAGGCGTTTTCTGTACTTTTATTACTTGTGTTGAATTTAGAGCTGGCAATCTTGAGCTAGGATTTTGATGCCCTAAAATTCCTAAAAGTGAGTTAAATGATCTATGTGCAGTTCGCACAATAACTTTGTTATGTCCGAAATTCGAAATTCAAGGTGGAAAAGAGAAGATATATTGTTCAATTGCAATTTAAAATTTATTTGATACATCATCATTTAACTTGTGGTCTCTCTGTGAAATGCTTTAAGTCAACAGCAGATACACAAATTAAACTTGGTGCTTGGCCAGCATCACGATTTCCATGCATAGCTCCACGGATCAGCTCCCTTACCGTGGCACAACATCAGAAACTGATTGTTCATTGATTGAGATAATATGATCAGCCCTCATCTCACAATGATCAGCAAACCTTCCTGTAGAGAAAGCAGGTTTTTCAGGTGGGCTAAGAGTTACTGTTTCACTTTTCAACATGACAACAACATAAGACATGGTTGGCCTGTCATCCGCATCTTCTTGAACACACAACAATCCAATATGGAGATATCTTAAAAATTCATCGGCGTCACATGAATCAACCAGTAACGGATCCATCAGCTCTAGCCCGTTTCCTTCATTCCATAATTGCCATGCCTGCATATCATCACTCAATGAGATAAACATCAATAGGCTTTGAGAATGAGAAAGTGTAATGCAGTCTAAGCCAGACAAACGTACATATGCTATGAGGCTAGGAACGCGTCTTATCAGATGAAAGCCAGCGTTCCTTCTCCCAGTTATGATCTCAATCAAGAGTACTCCAAAGGCAAAAACATCGGACTTCACGGAGTATAGTCCCTCCATTGCGTATTCTGGAGCCATATATCCACTTTTCCAATACAAAATTCCAAAACATATTATAAATCTGTAGAAATCAAATAATATGGTTTTATTGAAAACTTAGAAATCAAGCACTTACTAAGTGCCAACTATTGTAGCAGTATTAGCTTCTCCTTCACTTCCTACAAAGATCCTTGCCATGCCAAAGTCTGAGATATTTGGATTCATTTCATTGTCTAATAATATATTGCTAGCTTTAAGGTCTCTATGGATGATTCTAAGTCGAGAGTCTTCATGCAAATAAAGAATCCCCCTTGCAATCCCACTGATAATGCTTATGCGCCGGCTCCAATCAAGTCGTGCACGTTTCTTTGAATCTGACCATCCATCATAAGAAAAGAAGTCATACATTAATTAAGAATTTTTTTTTCAAAACAGAAAATCTTGACCATGTAATTGTGCTTAAGTTTGCCTTAGTAATTGAAATTCAAAGGATAAACAGAAATGAACAAACCAAAGAGGATGACATCTAGGCTGCTATTTGGCATAAATTCATATGCAAGGAGCTTCTCCTCTCCGTCTACGCAAAAACCACAAAGCCGGACAAGATTTTTGTGCTGAAGTTTCATTATCAGTAGAACTTCATTTGTGAATTCCTCTAAACCTTGCTCGGACAAGCTCGAAAGCCTTTTGATTGCCACTTCCCTTCCATCATTTAGTATACCCTGAGAAATTACCACCCGATTCTCTTTCAAGTCACAAAAATACTAAGCAAGCACATGTGTAAGATTTTCATAATTTATTGAACGAAACAAACTCAATACCTTGTAAACAGGACCAAAACCACCTTCTCCAAGCTTATTTGAATCAGAGAAGTTGGAAGTAGCTGCATGTATAGCTGCCAAACTGATATAGGGGTCCTGTGCTTTTCGATAATTTCTTCCTGAAAAAAAAAAAACTGTTTTAAGAAAACAATTAGGACTTTGAAGTATTTTTTTTTCATAATTAAGCATAACTACCTTCTTTATTTCTTTTTCTCACTGCAAGATAGACACAGGAACCCAAAAGTAGTATTGCCAGGCATGCTGACACAACTGTAAGGATTGTGATCAACAATATTTTCCTTCTGCTACCTGCATGTATATGGAAGCCATTCATTAATTTCGGTTCATCATGGATTTCCCATGCCGTGAAGGCTATGATAATATGCACAATTTAATTACGTCAAATATTAGGAGATTTGTACCATTCTTATTTGGAGAGCGAGGTGCAGAAGCTTCGGATGCTCCGGCAGTATAGAAGGCATATAACTCAAACCTCAGATAGCAACTACGACTCATAAGTCTTGCACCAACGGAGAAATAATACAATGCTAAAACGTCTTCTTTGGCTCTCAAAAGGCATTTATCACAGTCATCTCTAGATAAGTCGGTAGTGCACTGCACAAAAGCATATATCAGTTTATCTTCAAAAGCTACTTCTTCAGTAGCATGCATCTCAGCTGCAGAGAGATTATAAGCCGCTTGCTTAGCGAGGCGATTCAACGTCTCATTCAAAACAGACTCAAACTTTTTCGGGTCTGAAATATTCTGTGAATTCTCGTCGGCGATGTTGTCTCTTACATTCAATCTGCCGAAGAAATTCTCATTGGAGTAGCGCAATAGGCAGGAATCCTCCCACACAACCGCTTCTTTTGAGTGTGGACAAAGCATCAGCATGTCTGATTGCGCGGTGTTTATGCAGCGCCGACACATTTCATTCGCAACATAGTCAAAGCACATATAGAGGCCATATACTCTGTCAGGATCATTTCCAGTGGACGTATTGTAATACTTGGAAACAGAAGCATTCGAAGGTAAAGAAATGAGAAGATCGCCTAGGTTTTTATGAAACCGACTGTTATCTGTATAACTAACATTTGAGCATTTCCAATATGGAGGGGCGGCATCAGCAAGGTGACAAAGGAGGATGATCAGAAAACACAGAAAAGGTACAGGATTAATGGTTTTAGGGACACTAGGGAAATAAAACATATTTTGTCTTTCAAGGTTTGCACTATGATTCACCATCTACAATAACAGAGAAAGATTTATCACTTTATATATAGCTAATTGTGTTGTTGTTCCTGTTTATCTTTCTCTACAAGTACATATGCATTTCTAGGAACACTCCCTGTCTTAACCATTGAATTAACAGGTAATTTATTTGAAGGGTTATTAATATTCAGGCTTATAATATTCTATCTTTTATGTCTTAAGCAGAGGACTAAAAGCTTATTTGTGTCCAGTATTGTTGTGAATTAGTTTGTTGGGATGTCTGACTTCTTATTCCAAGCTGGCTAGCTACCCCTCACCATAAAGTTTTCTCGTATTGGACAATGGACTTGTCATTATTTGATGCAAAACTAATAGATAAAGGCAAAGACTTCAAAAGAAATAAAATAATTGTGACTTCTTGTTTTTCCTTCGTGCCTTTCCTCTTCTATAGCCACCATGGGGCTCACCTGATATGCTTCTCTTCAAAATATAATTGTCACTTCTTGTATTGCTTATCTTCTTTAACCCGTCTGCAGCCAATAGCTCTGGTTTGCTTGGACCCCCAACTGTTGACTAGGTAAACCTGATTGTTGACGGCTTGTCGAAAGGTCATGAGGGCTGGCTCATTACGCTTGATGCTTAGATTCAGCCAGAGTCATCATTATTATGGACATGGGGATCTTAGGTCCATTGGGCAGAGGACCCAATAGGGCCCCAGGTTATGTACGGCCGGCCAGCCAAACTAGACTCTAGTGACTAGGGTGAGATAGGGTTTCACTTGTTTGAAACTCATATTTAAAGAACCTCATGCCTCCCTTCCATTTGAGGTTTTGATCATTTTTGGTTACATGGTTAAGAGGAAGGGTGGGCATCAATTTGGCTTAACCGACTAAACAGGTCGAGGCAAACTGTAATGGGTGGTTTGGTTTGATTTGGTTTTAACCAAGAAAATAGTTAAATGGTTTAAAACACGAATTTGATCGTAATTGTTTGGTTTGCTTGTATATTTATTTTTGTTTTATTTATTTTACATGTGTAGTTATTTCATTGGATAATAATTAACTAGATAATGATGTTGAATTTGAAGTTTGATGAAACTTTACAGTCTGATTGCTAGCACCATCTTCTATTTAAGGCTTCATGATCTTCATCCCACAATCAAGTTGGTGAAGAGACTTGGAGTGGAGGTCACATATATCTTTGTGAATTAGGGAACTTTCTAAAGTGAAGGAGAGAAGATCAAGCTTGAAGCTTCAACAGTCTTGATGAAATAGGATACGGTCGAAAGAGTAAATTCCATCGCCTATTCCTCTCAAGTTTTGTTTTTAATTTCAATGGCACATCAATCACATGACCTAGAAGAGACTTGATTTAATGCTTCCTTTGCCATAATTTATTTATGTTATCACGAATCTTCAAATGAATCTTTGTGTGAACCAAGGTTTCCTTACCTCACCGGATAAATATAAAAACATGAGATTCGACAAAACCACTAAAAACATTATGACCAATGGAGGAGCCACCCCTAGGCTAGGATTGGCCTTGTCTAGAATTTTAAAGCCCTCCTTTACTAGGCCCAGGCCCTCTCTCATTTTTTTATTTTCTCATATTTTTACTTATATGTTTGCTTCTTCTTCTTTTTTTTTTTTTAATTTAAGCTTTGTGAATTCCCCTTTCCCCCATTTTACATGTCTAAGTAGGGTATCTTAATATTGGGATTTATGAACATTTTTGTATTTCTTCTCTCTGTTAAAGTATAAATTATTCAATTTTGAGTCTTTAATAGTGTAGATGATGAGATTAATATTCAACCATGTTAAAATATGAAGTTCAGGACAATTATGATTGTAATAAATGGATAAATTATTAATCAGTATGAAATGATATTATTAACTTATTAACCCATTTAGCGCTTGAAGACTCTTATTCGAATTATTTTTAAATTTTTTGTGAAAGGCCCCCTCTAATGTGAAATCCTAGCTCCGCCACTGCTATGATACAGAAATAATTATAAGAATGTGCAATTCAAATTAATAGCCTGAAATATATCGTAACAAAAGAAACATTTTGTTCTAATCCATAAGAGGTTTTAAATAGTAGTGTATGCATTTCTCATAGTGTTATATTTTGGGTAATGATCATGGAAGGAGAATCCAAAAAATGAACAGTTACATACTTTATAGGCAAAGTAGTGTGTTTAAGTTCCTCTTCAAAAATTATAGGTGAGCTAGATATTTTAACCTTAATTATTTATAATTTATAGGCAAGTTTTTTATTTACTCTTTTTATATGAGCGATATTCTACTTTAATTTAATCTAAACTACGGATAGGAGTAACTCATCACTTCATGCAAGAAAGAGGTATTTTTTTTTTGGTTGAGAAAAAACAACATTAGAACAATTTATATATATATATATATATATATTTTTTTTTCTTTTTTGTTTAAATTGTGTTTTTAAAATTTTGTTTAACAAAATATGTGGCCCGATCGTAGTTTATATGTAAGCAAAGGACTGGACCACATACATGTCACGTTAAATAACTTTGAAATAGATGACGTAATTACGTAAAAAGAGAGACAAGTTGAAGGAATTAAAATTGAGATTCGAATCAAGTTGAGAGGTAAAATACTAATTAAGCCTATTAAGAATCAAGATCCGATTTGGGCTTTTGACCTTTTGAAAATTATATTAATAAATCCAAGTTGAGAGGTAAAATAATAATTAAGCCTATTAAGACTTTATGCGTATATAATATATTGCGCCTATGGCCATTAAAACATCTTTTTTTTTGGTGCGTTTGATATAAAATCATTATTGATCCATCTCGTGCGTCTGTTATTATATTTCCTTCTTGAGCATGTGCATGCCTTCGGATTGTTATTTGTGGGGCATAATTGTTTTAATGAGCTAGAATTTCGAGCTCATAGGGGTGATAAGTCTTACTGGGATTCATTAATCATAGAATTATATCACCTCATTCTAAAGGGTTTGGTATTGGCTTCATAGGGGAAAAAAGGGGAATAATAGTTCATAATTTTCTATTTGGGCTAGTGCAATGTTGGAGTAAAACCTCTCAGGCACACACGTTGCGAAGGATGTATCAGAGAAGCAGCTCAAGAGCTTCGTAGGCTATGCCCTAACAAGCTAGGAGCTGTAATTTGGTACGATGATTGCCTTTTCAAATACTCAAAATACAAAATTCTTTCATGTACCAGATACAACTAATGCGGTTTATGCAATGAATAATGAATCTCTCAGTGCTCCCTTGTTGGATAAAAAAGTTGGTGAATTGTTAACTCAATTATGTATTGAAACTTGTATTAGTCCACTATTATATGTTCAGTTTATGGTGCGACTCAATGCACTGGTGATTTTTCTAGCCTCGATTGTAAGAAGTGTCTTGATGTGGCAATAAGTGAACTTTTGAAAAAAAAACATGGATTGTTATAATAGATTCGAATGTTACCCCTTTGTTTTTTATTAGTAGACACGTCGCATATGTATAAATTACTGTTGTGTTGCATGATTATTGGTTGATCACTAACCACATAATGATCTTGCTTGGTTTTATTGTTTTTTGCTAACTTGATGCGTTAAGGTTGTCTACTGTTATTTTTATACACAAAGCCAATTTGAACACTTTTCTCTCCAAAAAACATTTTCATGGAAGCCAATTTATATTTGCTTAATTAGTAGTTGATGCTCTTTATTTCTCTTGGTTAAGAGTGGAAGCTAAGGGCAGATCTCGTTCAAGCCAAATGTTGCTCCTCATAATGATATGAATGCCTTTTCGCTTTTGCGGATCATATATATTTTTGGCTTCGGCTTTATCCTACTTTTTTTAATAAATAGTTTTATATTATTGATTTGGAAAAACAAAAAGGATAGGGTAGAGAGGCCGACCCTAGCACTCAAGTTCGAATCCCCCACCACGTAAAAGATTAATGTAGACTATTGAAAAAAAAAAAAAAAAAAAAAAAAAAAAAAAAAAAAAAATAAAAAAATAAATATAAAATATTTTTGATACTCTTGGTTTGAAAAAAATAGTAGTTGTCATTTTTTTTTTTTTCAAGGTTAGGTGTAAAGTCTATGTTTCAGCTAGTTGGCTTCCTGCAAAAATTGAGGTGATTGTTAGAGCTGGTCAATAACCTTCTGAAGACCATTCCAAGCTGCTGCAGGTACTCACTCATGCATGTGCATTTCATAAGTTTATAAAGTTTTCAATTTCTTGGTCTGTATGACTAGTTTGATTACCTAGCCATCTGCAAGTTCCTGGTGCAGTGTTCCACCAGATCACATGTGTTTGGTTTGGACGAAGGTATATATGGTGATAAAGAAATAGCATTTACTGTTAAGGAACCTTTTTTCCAACTTGCGTGACATATGGCATGTTGAGTTTTACTTTCGTTGTTATGTAAAGTAGTTTCGTGTGCATACGACAAGCCACATAAATTGAGAAAATGAATGAGGAAAAAGTCAATCATAATAAATGTGGGAACACATATTTCCTCGGTTAATAAGAAGACGGTACGTGGAAAAGAAATATACCTTAGGTCCATTTTTGTGGCCCATTCCCTTTTTGTGTGGGTGAGCTTTGAGGCTTATGTCTCCATTTTCTATCTTTTAAGCCCACTACTTATAATCCTTTGCAAGGTTGTCTAACTTTTCAATATAAGATTTTTTTACCTTCCCATTTTCACACGCCCCCGCATGTGTGACAAATTTTTAAGCCTAGTATGTGGACAACACATATTGGGTGACGTGGAGCACGTGTGGCCATTGGGCTTTCACACGTGGGCTAACCTGGCTCTGATAGTAAGTTAGAAAGTCACTTAAGGAGTTCACTGTGCGGCAATGGCATGGGCGGCGACTGAGGTGGTTTTGGCATCATCGGCTTTATTTTTATGTTCGTGCTTTTACAGGCCATGTATTTTCTCCACCCATTGTCGATGGTTATGTCTCGTCTTTGTTCTCCACCACCATCATTTGTTCTT